TTTTTTTCCCCAAAAATAACATTCAAGCCCCTTCTCTACATTCCTGAGCACAGAAAGGAATTCTTACCCAGGTAAGCCAGATTCCTGGAATTCTCCAGCATGACTTCTCTGTAGAGCACTTTTTGGTCAGCATCCAGTTGAGACCACTCCTCCTTGGAGAAATACACGGCCACTTCCTCAAAAGACACAACATCCTGAACAAGGACACAAGTTTCCTTATTAACAGATAATTCCAAGAATAATGAAATAATTTTCTTCCACCAATTCTAGGAAAGAGATCTAGTGAATAAAATGGGTATTTTCTGCAGTATTAAGAATAAGATCTCACCGCTTTTGGCTGATGGCACAACTAAATCATATTTGATCAAGCTGGAAGTGTTTGGAATGCCTTATGGTATAGGCAAAAATATTCTTGATCAATTGACAGTTGGGTCTTAAATCTACTACTTGTCAGTGACTCCCATTCTTCCTAGGATGGGAAGAGCAAAATACTGGCAAAACCCAGCTGACATGTTTATCCATTGAGGGACCAACGTACCCCAACTCCACACCTTCATGAAGAAGTTGGAAGAGCTTGTAATAGAACTCTATATGTCTATGGAGATTCTCAATCAGCAAATCATGATTGTCCCAAAGACGCTTTTCAAAAGGCAAAAAAAGAATATTTTCTTTATAATGGTGTGTGTGAACAACCCTGGGAGACAGAAGGAAGAGCCCCGATGCTAACAACAGTCTGGTTGATGAAATCTGATGGTGAAGCAGGAGGGGTGGAGAAAGCGACTCACAAAGGATCCCCTCAAAACGGAGAGTGTGAATGTTCAGTGACCTGATGTCAAATTCATATTGCTTAGAAACAACAATTTTATACATTGAACTCTAGAACAAAATAAAATCTATCCAAGATTCATGGACCTTTTCTTATGTTTCTTCTCCTTACCTGAAGTAGCGGTTCAGCTAATCCTTCAACTTCATCAGAAAGAGGTGATTCTAAAAACTCCAAGGGCAGCTTCCTACTCTCTGTGAGAAAGAGAAAAATACTGGAAGCAGATTTCTTAAAGAGAGACACTCCAATAAAGCACAGCAAGAGAATCGGCTAAATATTGAACTCTCACAGTAAGAGCTTGTTACCTGGAGTGGTGTCCTGAGTTTGATTTTTGTGTAAGGTCTCCATGAACAGCAGCTCTTGAGAACATTTGAATGAACTTTTCCTGTTCTTGGGATACTCAGTCACAGCTTCCGTGCATTTCTGGACATGATGTGACACAAGAAAAAAAGGAAAAGTACACAGATAAAAATTATAATACTGCATTTTCAAACTAGCAGGCCTCAATGTCCATTGCTGAAACTCGAAAGAGAACGGAAGAATTGCCCCAAATACATCCTCTGGAAGAATAGAACAGATGCCCTTAGGAATTAATAATCCCAGAAAATTCTGTCACAAAGGAATTGACAACTTCAGAGAGATCCTCTTTAGAGCTGCAATGATTCCATTCTCCCACCTGCAACTCTTCCTGCATGTTTTCCTCCTCCTGAGTCAGCAAGAAGCCTTCAGCCAGGGACACCGCCTGGGAACTGGTCTCTGCTCCACACTCCCGCACCCATTTCGCCACCTTTGGGGGAAGGACAGCCAGGAATTGTTGCAGGAGCACCAGGTCCAGCATCTGAGCCTTGGTGTGTTTTTCTGGTTGCAGCCACTGACGACAAAGGTAGTGAAGCTGAGTGCAAACATCTCGCGGACGGCTCCCCTCCTGAAACTGCACTTTTGTGAAGTGACAGCATTGGACCTCTGAACTATTGGATGCCTCTTCGTGGCTCTTCTGGCCAGGACTTGCCCCATTCTTCCCACAGCTCCAAGGCTGAGCAGCTGGAGGGACTTTTCTAACTTCTGCATCTGCTGGGTGTTGTCCCTCCATCTTCTCTCTGGTCTCTAATAAAGCTCCAAAATGCACCCATGGATCTCCACAGGTCTTTCTGTTCACAAGAGGTCTGGCCAAATTTTCCAAGGCCATTCAGCTCTCTTTCCCAGAAAAGATTTTTAAGATTCCCGAAGAACCAGAATTTTTTTTTGATGTATCTGAGATGGAAAAATGGGGAATACGGGAGGGAAGAGAAGATTAAGTAAAGAAATTTGTATGAACCCACCAAGGTTTGAGGGGAAATCTTATTAGTCAGCTTGCTCTCTCTACATATTGGAAAATTTGCCTTCAGGATCAATGTCTATCAAAATATTGGAAAAATACATTTAAATATGTTTTTGATTTCTACTTCCTAGTTTCTATTAAAAATTTAGTTTTTATTCTTATGTCTTCTGTATTACTTTTGTAAATTACTCTAGGCAGAGATTATACATAATGCTCCTTCTTACTCTTTTCCCCCCAACAACAGCCCTGTGAAGTAGATTGGGCTGAGAACTGGGATGGGCTGAAGGCTTTCATGCCAAAGGTAGGACTAGAAGTTAATCTCCTGGTTTCAAAGCCTTGTGCTTTCATCACTGAGCCAAAGGGTCTCTCTGGCTAATCATAATTTAGTACAATATAATTTAAAAGACAGTTTAATAGCATTTCAATGGCTGCATAGTTAAGAACAAGTCCTTGCACCCCTTGCACCCAACTCCTTACACACGGAGTTGAAGCCTTGCATGCAAACCCAGCAGGAGGGACTCCGACCGCTCGCTTCTCTCGGCCCTTATAAAAAGGGGAAGGGAGGGAAACCCCTTCGGAAAACGGGGCCATGAAATATGCAGGAAACTGTCCAGGAGTCAAGACTGACGTGGAGGCACAAATCTCTGTTTTGCAGAGACGACCTCTCCTCCTCTCCCTCCATGCAAAGCTCTTACCGTCGAAATGGATTGTAAATCCTCTTTTCTGAGACCCTGTTTTTTTTTTCCCCCTGGGGGCAAATGGAAGGGCGCGAAGCTTTGCTTTCCCCCCTGCCTGGCCCTTGCATGCACAGGGACGGCAGGGGAACATGGGGCCAATGGCTCCCCCTCCCCCTTTCCACGACTCCAAGCCTGAGGAATGTGAGCGTCCAGCGCGGGAGAAAAGTCACCCACCCACCCAGTCACTGAACCCCCCACTCACGTCTGTACCTCCAAGTCCAAGTCTTCCCTGCAGCCTCTTCCCTTCCCTGAAAGGCTCCTCCGGGCACTGGAGAACCTTTCAAGCCTCGGGAGTCTCGCACCCCTCTCGACTTGGGAAAGAGGCCGGCGCATGCTCAGTTCTCTCGTAAGCGACGGAGGGAGGGTGCTGCACCGCTCTTCGAGGCCGCCCCCTAGAGGATCCTGTGTGCATTGCATGAAGACCCTGCAACGGCTCAGGACGTCATAAATTTGAAGGAAAGGTTCCCTCTAACATAGCCTATCTAGAAAGGAAGTGGCCTCTCCAGCAAGCATCAGTTTCTAGATTTTCCCTCTTTTTAATGCCTAAGAACCGTCTGAGATCTTGTGAAGATTGAGAAAATCTCTGTGGAGACTCAAAAATCCCTTTCCTGAAGAGCAGCTTCTCTGAAGGGTCTCCAGGGATTCCCAAGAGAAGGCCTCAAAAATGAGCAAAATCCTGTCAGAAATGGCAGGGCGGTCAAAACACAAGGAAGAAAAGTCTCTCGATGAAACCTGGTCTGTGTCTTGTGGCGGATGGCAAACTCAGCCTTGAAGTGGGGGAGATCAGGGGGCTGGCAGAGATACAGGGAGGAAAGCAACAGGTTGAGGAAAATTGAGATTTGTATTGATTTTTTCTTAGTGACTTTTCAGTGATTTCAATTATTACAGCTTCCTTTCCAAATTCATGCCTCTGCTTAGCCAAGGAAACACTAAAGGCAGCCTGTAATACTGAGAATAACCATACATCCCAATGAAAATGAAGCATTAAAAGAAAAGTTCCAAAATGGAGTGAAAGCTCAAAGTTGTGGACCTTTAAATTTTTTTTACCTCAAAACAAGCCGCCATGATGGAGAAATTAAGATTGGGAGAATAAAGTCTCATATGTGACTAGAGAAAAAGTGGAATCACAAAATGAAGGAAAGCAAATACTGAAAAATAAATATAAATCTCAAATACTACGAGGTGAAAAAAAAAGAGAGAGAGATGAAGTTTTATTTTGGTTGTTGAATAGGCAATACACCTCAGGAAATTTGAGTAGGAACCTTAAGAGCTTTTTTGCATTGGTGCAAAATGCAGCGGTCCATATGGTTTTGTGCAAATCCCATTGTGCACATGCATTACCTTTCCTGCGGGAGCTGCATTGGCTGCCGATTTGCTTCCGGGTGCAATTCAAGGTGTTGGTTGTCACCTTTAAAGCCCTTCATGGCTTGGAACCAGGTTATCTGAGAGACCATCCCTTGCGAGTCACATCTACCCGACCCATCAGAGTGGGCTGGCAGGGAATGGTGCAGGTCCTATCCCCCAGGGAGATATACCTTGTGGGACCCAGAAGGGCCTTCTCTGTGGGGGCCCCCTCTCTGTGTAACATCATCCCCCAAAGATTTGAATGGCCCCCACTCTAGGACTCTCCCAGAAGGAGCTGAAAACCTGGTTCTGCCAGTGGGAACCCAGAGCGGGATGGAGCACATTAAGTGGCTCATGTGAGGTGCTGTCACCATGGTAGGGGGTTATTTTATTATATTAATTTATTATATGACTCTTCTTCAATAAAAGAATAAAAGAAGAGTTTTATTGTTTTTATATGAGGTTTTATATTTTGTAAGCCGAAAACAGTCAGAGAAGGGGCTCAGCCCTGATACTTAACTCAACAGAAGTATTGAGGCAACAAGAAGAGGTTTCCGATAACCACTACTAAAAGTTGTGCTTTTTTTTTATCTAAAAGATACTTGAAGAATAACATAGTTGTGTTTGATATTTGAAACAATATAATGAAAAACAATTAGAAATATTTCTACATGCAGAGAAGACCTTTGAGTATTTGGACTTGGCAAAAACCACAAGCAGGATTAGGGATTCGCCGTGTTCTGGTTTGCACTAGAAAGGCAATTTATGAATGCATATCTAAGAAGGTAAACAATTTATTTGAATTATTTATTCATTTTTATTTCATTTATTCAATTTATATGCCGCCTCTCTCCGAAGACCCAGGGCGGCTCACAATACACTCAAAAAATGACTATAAAAGGACTTAAAAATTAAATTACTCAAATGGTACTTGTATGAGATTTTAGACAACTATAACTAGTCGTCGATTTACTACAGTTCATTTAGTGATTGTTCAAAGTTACAGCAGCATGGAAAAAAGTGACTTATGACCATTTTTCACACTTTTGCAAAATCCCCAAGGTCACCTGATCAAACGTCAGATGCTTGGCAACAGATTTATGATATTTGCAGAGTCCCTGGATCATGTGATCACCTTTTGTGAGCTTCTAACAAGCAAATCCAATGGGGAAGCCAGATTCATTTCATAACAGTATTACTAACTTAACAACTATTGTGAGTCATTTAACAAATGTGGCAAGAAAAGTCATCAAATGGCACAAAACGCAATAACTGTCTCGCTTAGCAACAGAAATTTTGGCCTCAATTGCAGTCATATGACGAGAACTACTTGGAGAAAAAAGAAGCTCACAAAAAGCCCTCTCCACACTGCAAACCTTTATTTGACTTATATCTTGTGTGGATCCTCTTGTGGCGATGAAGATGACTGCTATAAGTAAAGCTCTTTCCACACTCCATGCATTTATAAGGTCTTTCTCCTGTGTGGCTCCTCTTGTGGCGATGAAGATGACTGCTACAAGTAAAGCTCTTTCCACACTCCATGCATTTATAAGGTCTTTCTCCTGTGTGGCTCCTCTTGTGGGAATCAAGGTTACCGCTACAAGTAAATGTCTTTCCACACTCAGTACATTTATAAGGTCTTTCTCCTGTGTGGCTCCTCTTGTGGCGATGAAGATGACTGCTACAAGTAAAGCTCTTTCCACACTCACTACATTTATAAGGCTTCTCTCCTGCGTGGATCTTCTTGTGGTGATAAAGATTATTGTTACAAGTAAATCCCTTTCCACATTCCATGCATTTATAAGGTCTTTCTCCTGTGTGGATCCTTTGATGGATTATAAGGGACTCAGAATAACAGAAGGTCTTTCCACACTCAATGCATTTATACGTTTGTTCTCTTTTGTGGATCCTCTTGTGGGAATTAAGTCTACTCATAGCACTAAAGGTCTTTCCACACTCAATGCATTCATAAGGTCTCTCTCCTGTGTGGATCCTTTGATGGATTATAAGGGACTCAGAATAACAGAAGCTCTTTCCACACTCAATGCATTTATACGTTTGTTCTCTTTTGTGGATCCTCTTGTGGGAATTAAGTCTACTCATAGCAGTAAAGGTCTTTCCACACTCAATGCATTCATAAGGTCTTTCTCCTGTGTGGATCCTTTGATGGATTATAAGGGACTCAGAATAACAGAAGCTCTTTCCACACTCAATGCATTTATACGTTTGTTCCCTTTTGTGGATCCTCTTGTGGGAATTAAGTCTACTCATAGCAGTAAAGGTCTTTCCACACTCAATGCATTCATAAGGTCTCTCTCCTGTGTGGATCCTTTGATGGATTATAAGGGACTCAGAATAACAGAAGCTCTTTCCACACTCAATGCATTTATACGTTTGTTCTCTTTTGTGGATCCTCTTGTGGGAATTAAGTCTACTCATAGCAGTAAAGGTCTTTCCACACTCCATGCAATTAAAAGGTCTTTCTCCTATGTGGATCCTCTTGTGGGTATCAAGGTTACCGCTACGAGTAAATGTCTTTCCACACTCACTACATTTATAAGGTCTCTCTCCTGTGTGGATCCTCTTGTGGGAATTAAGACTGCTGGTACAAGTAAAGGTCTTTCCACACTCACTACATTTATAAGGTCTTTCTCCTGTGTGGATCCTCTTGTGGGATTTAAGGTGCTTGCTTAAAGTAAATCCCTTTCCACACTCCATGCATTTATAAGGTCTTTCTCCTGTGTGGATCCTTTGATGGATTATAAGGGACTCAGAATAACAGAAGGTCTTTCCACACTCCATGCATTTATACGCTTGTTCTCTTTTGTGGATCCTCTTGTGGGAATTAAGATGACTGCTTAAATAAAAGGCCTTTCCGCAATCCATGCATTTATAAGGCTTCTCTCCTGCGTGGATCTTCTTGTGGTAATAAAGATTACTGCTACAAGTAAAGGTCTTTCCACACTCAATGCATTTATAAGGTCTTTCTCCTGTGTGGATCCTTTGATGGATTATAAGGGACTCAGAATAACAGAAGCTCTTTCCACACTCAATGCATTTATACGTTCGTTCTCCTTTGTGGATCCGCTGGTGGGAATTAAGATGACTGCTACGATTAAAGGACTTTCCACACTCCATGCAGGTAAATCGTTTCCCTTCTGAATGTGTATTTTCATGAGAAAAGAGATTATCGGATATATTGAACCTCTTTGTACACTCCATGGATTTATATGGTCTTTCTCTCTTATTGATCACTGTATGGTTAGGAAGCCAACTGACCTGAGGAAGGCCTTTCTTAACTCCACTTTGTGATTGCTTTGTTTCATCACTCTTTGGTTTCATCTGATCTACAAATTTCCTTTTCCTCCCTTTTGAATGGATCGCTTGGCGTTCCTCCTTGCAATTCTTATTGTCTTCTCTATTACAGCCTTGAAAAAGAAAAATGAAAACTGTACCAAGAATAGGGGAACAAGCAAAACTTTTCTTCTGAATCGTCAATGTATTTCAGCTGTTTTGTTGGCAAACATGAAGAGTCCAAACAAAGATAATAGCAAAGACCCATTTCCAAGTGAAATGATCCCCATATAATAGGATTGGATCACAGCCCTGATTTAATCTTTCATATGGGACAATTCCATGCTGCCAAAAACTCCCAAAGTGCACTGGAAACTGTGTCATAATGGGGCAGCAACATACCCAGCACTTCCCAACTTCAATAAAAGTCTCATCTCCACTTGTCTACAGAGCAGAATTTTTGAAAGTCAGAGGGAATTTCTGGATGGCAATACCTCCCTACCCTCAATTTAGGCTAAAGCCAATTCCAGTACACAAGTGGGCATATCTCTAAGAAGGAAACATGCCTCTCAGAGGTCATCTGGTCTTCGTTATAGCAGCTCAGGGCCATCGGGAACACAGTGACCAGGTTCAGGAGGGAATAACGAATCTTGGTAGCCAGGATCTTGCTCTGTCCATTCAGCCTCTTCCTCAGAGTCTTCCTAATATCTTTTATGAAATGAGTATTTTGTATTTCATGAGCAGAATGCTTTTTAAAAAAACAAACAATTTACTTTATGTAAAAAGCCAGGCTATGCAGTTTTTCCTTCAATATATTTCCTTCTTCCATAAAGTCAGTTTGGTCAAAAGGTTAAGACACCGGGCTAGAAACTAATAAAGTAACAGGCATTTTAAAAAAAATTACTTTGTCATTCTTGGGTACCAATAAGGAGAAAAAAATGAATTTCAACAAATATAGAATCAAGCAGTAGCATAACAAAATTGATAAAAGTGAAGGGAGTCTGAATACATTCTGAATGCATTCCATATCCTTCCTTTATTTTTTGTAAATAAAGGCAGCAGACAAACCAAAAATTTTTCTTCCTGCTGTTTTCCATACAACAATCCTGTGAAATGGATTGGAGAGAGTTTTGGCCCAAAGTCACCCAGCCAGCACTCATGCCTAAGGCAGAACAAGTACTCACTCACAGTCACCCAGTTTCTACCCTGGTGTCTTAACCCTTTGACCAAACTGATTTTATGGAAGAAGGAAATTTATTCAAAGAAAAACTGGAAATCTGCAGGTTGTGTCTATGTTCCAGGATGGAGAAGATAATTTTGACTCACTTGGTGCTTTACTGTTTTATCCCATGTATAAATATTTTTCAGCAATCTAATTGCTGAAAAATATTTCATCTTATTTGTTTTGATAAAAATATAGCATCATGCTTTTTTAACACTTAAGAAAAAAAGAAAAGAAATTGTTTTCTTTAAAAAAATGCTTTCTGCTCATAAAACACAAAATAACCCCTTTCAACAACTGTTGAATCATGCTACAACATAACAAAATTCTACAAAGTCAGAATCCTTTCTGAATGCATTGTAAATAAATGATTTTTTTCCCCAGAAATAACATTCAAGCCCCTTCTCTACATTCCTGAGCACAGAAAGGAATTCTTACCCAGGTAAGCCAGATTCCTGGAATTCTCCAGCATGACTTCTCTGTGGAGTTCTCTTTGGTCAGCATCCAGTTGAGACCACTCCTCCTTGGAGAAATACACGGCCACTTCCTCAAAAGACACAACATCCTGAACAAGGACACAAGTTTTCTTATTAACAGATAATTCCAAGAATAATGAGATAATTTTCTTCCACCAATTCTAGGAAAGAGATCTAGTGAATAAAATGGGTATTTTCTGCAGTATTAAGAATAAGATCTCACCGCTTTTGGCTGATGGCACAACTAAATCATGTTTGATCGAGCTGGAAGTGTTTGGAATGCCTTAACGTATAGGCAACTAAAATATTCTTGATCAATTGACAGTTGGGTCTTAAATCCACTACTTGTCAGTGACTCCCATTCTTCCTAGGATGGGCAGAGAGAAGTACTGGCAAAACCCACCTGACATGTTTTCCAATGGCTCATTTTATCCATTGAGGGACCAACGTACCCCAACTCCACACCTTCATGAAGGAGTTGGAAGAGGTTGTAATAGAATTCTATATGTCTATGGAGATTCTCAATCAGCAAATCATGATTGTCCCAAAGACGCTTTTCAAAAGCACAAAAGGATTTTTTTTTTTTGTAATGGTGTGTGAGAATAACCCACACATTGAAATCTGATGGTGAAGCAGGAGGGGTGGAGAAAGCGACTCACAAAGGATCCCCTCAGAAGGGAGAAGGTAGGCTAATCTGAGCGTGAATGTTCAATGACCTGATGTCAAATTCATATTGCTTAGAAACAACAATTTCATACATTGAACTCTAGAACAAAATAAAATCTATCCAAGATTCATGAACCTTTTCCTATGTTTCTTCTCCTTACCTGAAGTAGCGGTTCAGCTAATCCTTCAACTTCATCAGAAAGAGGTGATTCTAAAAACTCCAAGGACAGCTTTCTACTCTCTGGGAGAAAGAGAAAAATACTGGAAGCAGATTTCTTAAAGAGAGACACTCCAATAAAGCAGAGCAAAAGAATCGGCTAAATATTGAACTCTCACAGTAAGAGCTTGTTACCTGGAGTGGTGTCCTGAGTTTGATCTTTGTGTAAGGTCTCCATGAACAGCAGCTCTTGAGAACATTTGAATGAATTTTTCCTGTTCTTGGGATACTCAGTCACAGCTTCCGTGCATTTCTGGACATGATGTGACACAAGAAAAAAAGGAAAAGTACACAGATAAAAATTATCATACTACATTTTCAAACTAGCAGGCCTCAATGTCCATTGCTGAAACTCGAAAGAGAATGGAAGAATTGCCCCAAATACATCCTCTGGAAGAATAGAACAGATGCCCTTAGGAATTAATAATCCCAGAAAATTCTGCCAGAAAGGAATTGACAACTTCAGAGAGATCCTCTTTGGAGCCGCCATGATTACATTCTCCCACCTGCAACTCTTCCTGCATGTTTTCCTCCTCCTGAGTCAGCAAGAAGCCTTCAGCCAGGGACACCGCCTGGGAACTGGTCTCTGCTCCACACTCCCGCACCCATTTTGCCATCTCTGGGGGAAGGACAGCCAGGAATTGTTCCAGGAGCACCAGGTCCAGCATCTGAGCCTTGGTGTGTTTTTCTGGTTGCAGCCACTGACGACAAAGGTAGTGAAGCTGAGTGCAAACATCTCGGGGACGGCTCCCCTCCTGAAACTGCACTTTTATGAAGTGACAGCATTGGACCCCTGAAGTGTTGGATGCCTCTTCGTGGCTCTTCTGCCCAGGACTTGCCCCATTCTTCCCACAGCTCCAAGGCTGAGCAGCTGGAGGGCCTTTTCTAACTTCTGTATCTGCTGGGTGTTGTCCCTCCATCTTCTCTCTGGTCTCTAAAAAAGCTCCAAAATGCACCCACGGGTCTCCGTTGGTCTTTCTGTTCACAAGAGGTCTGGCCAAATTTTCCAAGGCCATTCAGCTCTCTCTTCCCAGACAAGATTTGTAAGATTCCCGAAGAACCAGAAATTTTTTTTTGATGTATCTGAGATGGAAAAATGGGGAGGAGGGGAGGGGAGGGAAGATTAAGTAAAGAAATTTGTATGAACCCACCAAGGTTTGAGGGGAAATCTTATTAGTCAGCTTGCTCTCTCTACATATTAGAAAATTTGCCTTCAGGATCAATGTCTATCAAAATATTGGAAAATACATTTAAATGAGTATTTGATTTCTACTTCCTAGTTTCTATTAAAAATTTAGTTTTTATTCTTATGTCTTCTGTATTACTTTTGTAAATTACTCTAGGCAGAGATTATACATAATGCTCCTTCTTACTGTTTTCCCCCCAACAACAGCCCTGTGAAGTAGATTGGGTTGAGGCTTTCATGCCAAAGGTTGGCCTAGAAGTTAATCTCCTGGTTTCAAAGCCTTGTGCTTTCATCACTGAGCCAAAGGGTCTCTCTGGTTAATCATAATGTAATACAATATAATTTAAAAGACAGTTTAATAGCATTTCTATGGCTGCATAGTTAAGAACAAGTCCTTGCACCCCTTGCACCCAACTCCTTACACACGGAGTTGAAGCCTTGCATGCAAAGCCAGCAGGAGGGACTCCGACCGCTCGCTTCTCTCGGCCCTTATAAAAAGGGGAAGGGAGGGAAACCCCTTCGGAAAACGGGGCCATGAAATATGCAGGAAACTGTCCAGAGGTCACGACTGACTTGGAGGCACAAATCTCTGTTTTGCAAACACTTTTCCTCCTCCTCTCCCGCCATGCAAAGCTCTTACCGTCGAAATGGATTGTAAATCCTCTTTTCTGCGACCCTGTTTTTTTTCCCCCCTGGGGGCAAATGGAAGGGCGCGAAGCTTTGCTTTCCCCCCTGCCTGGCCCTTGCATGCACAGGGACGGCAGGGGAACATGGGGCCAATGGCTCCCCCTCCCCCTTTCCACGACTCCGAGCCTGAGGAATGTGAGCGTCCAGCGCGGGAGAAAAGTCACCCACCCCCCCAGTCACTGAACCCCCCACTCACGTCTGTACCTCCAAGTCCAAGTCTTCCCTGCAGCCTCTTCCCTTCCCTGAAAGGCTCCTCCGGGCACTGGAGAACCTTTCAAGCCTCGGCAGTCTCGCACCCCTCTCGACTTGGGAAAGAGACCGGCGCATGCTCAGTTCTCTCGTAAGCGACGGAGGGAGGGAGGGAGCTGCACCGCTCTTCGAGGGCGCCCCCTAGAGGATCCTGTGTGCATTGCGAGAAGGTCCTGCAAGGGCTCCGGACGTCATGTTCCACACGTATCTGGGTTGATGGGCATTAAATTTGAAGGAAAGGTTCCCTCTAAGATTGCCTATCTAGAAAGGAAGTGGCATCTCCAGCAAGCATCAGTTTCTAGATTTTCCATCTTTTTAACCTCTTAAGAACTGTCTGTGATCTTGTGAAGATTGAGAAAATCTCTGTGGAGACTCAAAAATCCCTTTTCTGAAGAGCAGCTTCTCTGAAGGGAGGGATTCCCAGGAGGAGGCCTCAAAAATGAGCAAAATCCAGTCAGAAATGGCAGGGCGGTCAAAACACAAGGAAGAAAAGTCTCTCTATGAAACCCAGCCTGTGTCTTGTGGCGGATGGCAAACTCAGCCTTGAAGTGAGGGGAGATCAGGGGGCTGGCAGAGACACAGGGAGGAAAGTGAAAGGTTGAGGAAATTTGAGATTTGTATTGATTTTTCTTTAGTGAGTTCAATTATTACAGCTGCCATTCTAAATTCATGCCTCTGCTTAGCCAAGGAAACACTAAAGACAGCCTGTAATACTGAGAATAACCATACATCCCAATGAAAACAAAGCATTAAAAGAAAAGCTCGAAAATGGAGTGAAAGCTCAAACTTGTGGGCCTTTAAAAATTTTTACTTCAAAACAAGCCACCATGATGGAGAAATTAAGATTGGGAGAATAAAGTCTCATATGTGGCTAGAGAAAAAGTGGAATCACAAAATGAAGGAAAGCAAATACTGAAAAATAAATATAAATCTCAAATACTACGAGGCGAAAAAAAAAGAGAGAGATGAATAGTTTTATTTTGGTTGTTGAATAGGCAATACACCTCAGGAAATTTGAGTAGGAACCTTAAGAGCTTTTTTGCATTGGTGCAAAATGCAGCGGTCCATATGGTTTTGTGCAAATCCCATTGTGCACATGCATTACCTTTCCTGCGGGAGCTGCATTGGCTGCCGATTTGCTTCCGGGTGCAATTCAAGGTGTTGGTTGTCACCTTTAAAGCCCTTCATGGCTTGGAACCAGGTTATCTGAGAGACCATCCCTTGCGAGTCACATCTACCCGACCCATCAGAGTGGGCTGGCAGGGAATGGTGCAGGTCCTATCCCCCAGGGAGATACATCTGGTGGGACCCAGAAGGGCCTTCTCTGTGGGGGCCCCCTCTCTGTGTAACATCATCCCCCAAAGATTTGAATGGCCCCCACTCTAGGACTCTCCCAGAAGGAGCTGAAAACCTGGTTCTGCCACTGGGAACCCAGAGCGGGATGGAGCACATTAAGTGGCTCATGTGCGGTGCTGTCACCATGGTAGGGGGTTATTTTATTATATTAATTTATTATATGACTCTTCTTTAATAAAAGAATAAAAGAAGAGTTTTATTGTTTTTATATGAGGTTTTATATTTTGTAAGCCGAAAACAGCCAGAGAAGGGGCTCAGCCCTGATACTTAGCCCAACAGAAGTATTGAGGCAACAAGAAGAGGTTTCCGATAACCTCTAATAAAAGTTGTGCTTTTTTTTATCTAAAAGATACTTGAAGAATAACATTATAGTTGTGTTTGATATTTGAAACAATATAATGAAAAACAATTAGAAATATTTCTACATGCAGAGAAGACCTTTGAGTATTTGGACTTGGCAAAAACCACAAGCAGGATTAGGGATTCGCCGTGTTCTGGTTTGCACTAGAAAGGCAATTTATGAATGCATATCTAAGAAGGTAAACAATTTATTTGAATTATTTATTTATTTTTATTTCATTTACTCAATTTATATGCCGCCTCTCTCCGAAGACCCAGGGCGGCTCACAATACACTCAAAAAATGACTATAAAAGGACTTAAAAATTAAATTACTCAAATGGTACTTGTATGAGATTTTAGACAACTATAGGTAGTCGTCGATTTACTACAGTTCATTTAGTGATTGTTCAAAGTTACAGCAGCATGGAAAAAAGTGACTTATGACCATTTTTCACACTTTTGCAACATCCCCAAGGTCACCTGATCAAACGTCAGATGCTTGGCAACAGATTTATGACAGTTGCAGAGTCCCTGGATCATGTGATCACCTTTTGTGAGCTTCTAACAAGCAAATCCAATGGGGAAGCCAGATTCATTTCATAACAGTATTACTAACTTAACAACTATTGTGAGTCACTTAACAAATGTGGCAAGAAAAGTCGTCAAATGGCACAAAACGCAATAACTGTCTCGCTTAGCAACAGAAATTTTGGCCTCAATTGCAGTCATATGACGAGAACTACTTGGAGAAAAAAGAAGCTTACAAAAAGCCCTCTCCACACTGCAAACCTTTATTTGACTTATATCTTGTGTGGCTCCTCTTGTGGCGATGAAGATGACCACTACAAGTAAAGCTCTTTCCACACTCCATGCATTTATAAGGTCTTTCTCCTGTGTGGATCCTCTTGTGGGTATCAAGGTTACCGCTACGATTAAATGTCTTTCCACACTCACTACATTTATAAGGTCTCTCTCCTGTGTGGATCCTCTTGTGGGAATTAAGACTGCTGCTACAAGTAAAGGTCTTTCCACACTCCATGCATTTATAAGGTCTTTCTCCTGTGTGGATCCTCTTGTGGGATTTAAGGTGCTTGCTTAAAGTAAATCCCTTTCCACACTCCATGCATTTATAAGGTCTTTCTCCTGTGTGGATCCTTTGATGGATTATAAGGGACTCAGAATAACAGAAGGTCTTTCCACACTCCATGCATTTATACGCTTGTTCTCTTTTGTGGATCCTCTTGTGGGAATTAAGATGACTGCTTAAATAAAAGGCCTTTCCACAATCCATGCATTTATAAGGCTTCTCTCCTGCGTGGATCTTCTTGTGGTAATAAAGATTACTGTTACAAGTAAAGGTCTTTCCACACTCCATACATTTATATGTTCGTTCTCCTTTGTGGATCCTCTGGTGGGAATTAAGATGACTGCTACGATTAAAGGACTTTCCACACTCCATGCAGGTAAATCGTTTCCCTTCTGAATGTGTATTTTCATGAGAAAAGAGATTATCGGATATATTGAACCTCTTTGTACACTCCATGGATTTATATGGTCTTTCTCTCTTATTGATCACTGTATGGTTAGGAAGCCAACTGACCTGAGGAAGGCCTTTCTTAACTCCACTTTGTGATTGCTTTGTTTCATCACTCTTTGGTTTCATCTGATCTACAAATTTCCTTTTCCTCCCTTTTGAATGGATCGCTTGGCGTTCCTCCTTGCAATTCTTATTGTCTTCTCTATTACAGCCTTGAAAAAGAAAAATGAAAACTGTACCAAGAATAGGGGAACAAGCAAAACTTTTCTTCTGAATCGTCAATGTATTTCAGCTGTTTTGTTGGCAAACATGAAGAGTCCAAGCAAAGATAACAGCAAAGACCCATTTCCAAGTGAAATGATCCCCATATAATAGGATTGGATCACAGCCCTGATTTAATCTTTCATATGGGACAATTCCATGCTGCCAAAAACTCCCAAAGTGCACTGGAAACTGTGTCATAATGGGGCAGCAACATACCCAGCACTTCCCAACTTCAATAAAAGTCTCATCTCCACTTGTCTACAGAGCAGAATTTTTGAAAGTCAGAGGGAATTTCTGGATGGCAATACCTCCCTACCCTCAATTTAGACTAAAGCCAAATCCAGTACACAAGTGGGCATATCTCTAAGAAGGGAACATGCCTCTCGGAGGTCATCTGGTCTTCGTTATAGCAGCTCAGGGCCATCGGGAACACAGTGACCAGGTTCAGGAGGGAATAACGAATCTTGGTAGCCAGGATCTTGCTCTGTCCATTCAGCCTCTTCCTCAGAGTCTTCCTAATATCTTTTATGAAATGAGTATTTTGTATTTCATGAGCAGAATGCTTTTTGAAAAAACAAACAATTTACTTTATGTAAAAAGCCAGGCTATGCAGTTTTTCCTTCAATATATTTCCTTCTTCCATAAAGTCAGTTTGGTCAAAAGGTTAAGACACCGGGCTAGAAACTAATAAAGTAACAGACATTTAAAAAAAAAATACTCTGTGATTCTTGGGTACCAATAAGGAGAAAAAAATGAATTTCAACAAATATAGAATCAAGCAGTAGCATAACAAAATTGATAAAAGTGAAGGGAGTCTGAATACATTCTGAATGCATTCCATATCCTTCCTTTATTTTTTGTAAATAAAGGCAGCAGACAAACCAAAATTTTTTCTTCCTGCTGTTTTCCATACAACAATCCTGTGAAATGGATTGGAGAGAGTTTTGGCTCAAAGTCACCCAGCCAGCATTCATGCCTAAGGCAGAACAAGTACTCACTCACAGTCACCCAGTTTCTACCCTGGTGTCTTAACCCTTTGACCAAACTGATTTTATGGAAGAAGGAAATTTATTCAAAGAAAAATTGGAAATCTGCAGGTTGTGTCTATGTTCCATAATGGAGAAGATAATTTTGACTCACTTGGTGCTTTACTGTTTTATCCCATGTATAAATATTTTTCAGCAATGTAATTGCTGAAAAATATTTCATCTTATTTGTTTTGATAAAAAAATAGCATCATGCTTTTTTAACACTTAAGAAAAAAAGAAAAGAAATTGTTTTCTTTAAAAAAATGCTTTCTGCTCATAAAACACAAAATAACCCCTTTCAACAACTGTTGAATCATGCTACAGCATAACAAAATTCTACAAAGTCAGAATCCTTTCTGAATGCATTGTAAATAAATGATTTTTTCCCCCAGAAATAACATTCAAGCCCCTTCTCTACATTCCTGAGCACAGAAAGGAATTCTTACCCAGGTAAGCCAGATTCCTGGAATTCTCCAGCATGACTTCTCTGTGGAGTTCTCTTTGGTTAGCATCCAGTTGAGACCACTCCTCCTTGGAGAAATACACGGCCACTTCCTCAAAAGACACAACATCCTGAACAAGGACACAAGTTTTCTTATTAACAGATAATTCCAAGAATAATGAGATAATTTTCTTCCACCAATTCTAGGAAAGAGATCTAGTGAATAAAATGGGTATTTTCTGCAGTATTAAGAATAAGATCTCACCGCTTTTGGCTGATGGCACAACTAAATCATGTTTGATCGAGCTGGAAGTGTTTGGAATGCCTTAACGTATAGGCAACTAAAATATTCTTGATCAATTGACAGTTGGGTCTTAAATCCACTACTTGTCAGTGACTCCCATTCTTCCTAGGATGGGCAGAGAGAAGTACTGGCAAAACCCACCTGACATGTTTTCCAATGGCTCATTTTATCCATTGAGGGACCAACGTACCCCAACTCCACACCTTCATGAAGGAGTTGGAAGAGGTTGTAATAGAACTCTATATGTCTATGGAGATTCTCAATCAGCAAATCATGATTGTCCCAAAGACGCTTTTCAAAAGCACAAAAGGATTTTTTTTTTTTGTAATGGTGTGTGAGAATAACCCACACATTGAAATCTGATGGTGAAGCAGGAGGGGTGGAGAAAGCGACTCACAAAGGATCCCCTCAGAAGGGAGAAAGTAGGCTAATCTGAGCGTGAATGTTCAATGACCTGATGTCAAATTCATATTGCTTAGAAACAACAATTTCATACATTGAACTCTAGAACAAAATAAAATCTATCCAAGATTCATGAACCTTTTCCTATGTTTCTTCTCCTTACCTGAAGTAGCGGTTCAGCTAATCCTTCAACTTCATCAGAAAGAGGTGATTCTAAAAACTCCAAGGACAGCTTTCTACTCTCTGGGAGAAAGAGAAAAATACTGGAAGCAGATTTCTTAAAGAGAGACACTCCAATAAAGCAGAGCAAAAGAATCAGCTAAATATTGAGCTCTCACAGTAAGAGCTTGTTACCTGGAGTGGTGTCCTGAGTTTGATCTTTGTGTAAGGTCTCCATGAACAGCAGCTCTTGAGAACATTTGAATGAATTTTTCCTGTTCTTGGGATATTCAGTCACAGCTTCCGTGCATTTCTGGACATGATGTGACACAAGAAAAAAAGGAAAAGTACACAGATAAAAATTATCATACTACATTTTCAAACTAGCAGGCCTCAATGTCCATTGCTGAAACTCGAAAGAGAACGGAAGAATTGCCCCAAATACATCCTCTGGAAGAATAGAACAGATGCCCTTAGGAATTAATAATCCCAGAAAATTCTGCCAGAAAGGAATTGACAACTTCAGAGAGATCCTCTTTGGAGCCGCCATGATTCCATTCTCCCACCTGCAACTCTTCCTGCATGTTTTCCTCCTCCTGAGTCAGGAAGAAGCCTTCAGCCAGGGACACCGCCTGGGAACTGGTCTCTGCTCCACACTCCCGCACCCATTTCGCCATCTCTGGGGGAAGAACAGCCAGGAATTGTTGCAGGAGCACCAGGTCCAGCATCTGAGCCTTGGTGTGTTTTTCTGGTTGCAGCCACTGACGACAAAGGTAGTGAAGCTGAGTGCAAACATCTCGGGGACGGCTCCCCTCCTTAAACTGCACTTTTGTGAAGTGACAGCATTGGACCTCTGAACTGAGACCATTGGATGCCTCTTCGTGGCTCTTCTGCCCAGGACTTGCCCCATTCTTCCCACAGCTCCAAGGCTGAGCAGCTGGAGGGCCTTTTCTAACTTCTGCATCTGCTGGGTGTTGTCCTTGCATCTTCTCTCTGGTCTCTAATAAAGCTCCAAAATGGATCCATGGATCTCCACAGGTCTTTCTGTTCACAAGAGGTCTGGCCAAATTTTCCAAGGCCATTCAGCTCTCTCTTCCCAGAGAAGATTTGTAAGATTCCCGAAGAACCAGAATTTTTTTTTTGATGTATCTGAGATGGAAAAATGGGGAGGAGGGGAGGGGAGGGAAGATTAAGTAAAGAAATTTGTATGAACCCACCAAGGTTTGAGGGGAAATCTTATTAGCCAGCTTGCTCTCTCTACATCTGGGGAAATTTGCCTTGAACCCTTCAGGATCAATGTCTATCAAAATATTGGAAAATACATTTAAATGAGTATTTGATTTCTACTTCCTAGTTTCTATTAAAAATTTAGTTTTTATTCTTATGTCTTCTGTATTACTTTTGTAAATTACCCTAGGCAGAAATTATACATAATGCTCCTTCTTACTCTTTCCCCCCCAACAACAGCCCTGTGAAGTAGATTGGGCTGAGAACTGGGATGGCCTCAAGACTTTCATGCCAAAGGTTGGACTAGAAAGTTAATCTCCTGTGTCAGGGCATTGATTAATCCCATAATTGGCTCTGGGACAAATCACCCTGATTAGAGGATGGATCGAGGCTTTATCTAAGTTGCAATATTCTGAAAAGAAAACCCGAAGAAAAGTTCTCTAATAAAACTCATTTATTTGTTATAAAGAAAATAAAACACCTCACTAAGAAAGAGAATTACTACATTTTGAAATAGTTCGGGCCAGCTGCTTTCCAGCAACCGGGACCCATGGCAAGAGAACAAAGGAAAAAAAGTGTGTGAAGGAATGTGGGTGGATGGACGGACATGCGTAGCAGTTTTGATAACAATTCTTGGCAAGGTACGGAAAGTCTGATAGTCCAGAAATGATGAAGCTCAGCTGGTAAATAAAATAACGCACTGACATCCTGGTTTCAAAGCCTTGTGCTTTCATCACTGAGCCAAATGGTCTCTCTGGCTAATCATAATTTAATACAGTATAATTTAAAAGACAGTTTAATAGCATTTCTATGGCTGCATAGTTAAGAACAAGTCCTTGCACCCCTTGCACCCAACTCCTTACACACGGAGTTGAAGCCTTGCATGCAAAGCCAGCAGGAGGGACTCACTCAGCTCGCTTTTCTCGGCCTAAGAAGGGGGAGGGAGGGAAACCCCTTCGGAAAACGGGGCCATGAAATATACAGGAAACTGTCCAAAGGTCAAGACTGACGTGGAGGCACAAACCTCTGTTTTGCAGAGACGACTTCTCCTCCTCTCCCTCCATGCAAAGCTTTCCCCATCGAAATGGATTGTAAATCCTCTTTTCTGCGACCCTGGTTTTTTTTCCCCCCCGGGGGCAAATGGAAGGGCGCGAAGCTTTGCTTTCTCCCCTGCCTGGCCCTTGCATGCACAGGGACGGCAGGGGAACATGGGGCCAATGGCTCCCCCTCCCCCTTTCCACGACTCCGAGCCTGAGTAATGTGAGCGTCCAGCGCGGGAGGAAAGTCACCCACCCACCCAGTCACTGAACCCCCCACTCACGTCTGGATCTCCAAGTCCAAGTCTTCCCTGCAGCCTCTTCCCTTCCCTGAAAGGCTCCTCCGGGCACTGGAGAACCTTTCAAGCCTCGGGAGTCTCGCATCCCTCTGGACTTGGGAAAGAGACCGGCGCATGCTCAGTTCTCTCGTAAGCCGGTCTTCGAGGGCGCCCCCTAGAGGATCCTGTGTGCATTGCGAGAAAATCCTGCAAGGGCTCAGGACGTCATCTGGAATGATGGGCATTAAATTTGAAGGAAAGGTTCCCTCTAACCAGTGGTGGGATTCAAGTAATTTAACAACCGGTTCTCTGCCCTAATGATTTCTTCCAACAACCAGTTTGCCAAACTGCTCAGAAGATTAACAACCGGTTCTCCCGAAGTGGTACGAACTGGCTGAATCCCACCACTGCCTCTAACATAGCCTATCTAGAAAGGAAGTGGCCTCTCCAGCAAGCATCAGTTTGTAGATTTTCCCTCTTTTTAATCTCTAAGAACTGTCTGAGATCTTGTGAAGATTGGGAAAATCTCTGTGGAGACTCAAAAATCCCTTTCCTGAAGAGCAGCTTCTCTGAAGGGTCTCCAGGGATTCCCAAGAGAAGGCCTCAAAAATGAGCAAAATCCTGTCAGAAATGGCAGGGCGGTCAAAACACAAGGAAGAAAAGTCTCTCGATGAAACCTGGTCTGTGTCTTGTGGCGGATGGCAAACTCAGCCTTGAAGTGTGGGGAGATCAGGGGGCTGGCAGAGATACAGGGAGGAAAGCAACAGGTTGAGGAAAATTGAGATTTGTATTGATTTTTTGTTAGTGACTTTTCAGTGATTTCAATTATTACAGCTTCCTTTCCAAATTCATGCCTCTGCTTAGCCAAGGAAACACTAAAGGCAGCCTGTAATACTGAGAATAACCATACATCCCAATGAAAATGAAGCATTAAAAGAAAAGTTCCAAAATGGAGTGAAAGCTCAAACTTGTGGACCTTTAAATTTTTTTTACTTCAAAACAAGCCGCCATGATGGAGAAATGAAGATTGGGAGAATAAAGTCTCATATGTGACTAGAGAAAAAGTGGAATCACAAAATGAAGGAAAGCAAATACTGAAAAATAAATATAAATCTCAAATACTACGAGGTGAAAAAAAAAGAGAGAGAGATGAAGTTTTATTTTGGTTGTTGAATAGGCAATACACCTCAGGAAATTTGAGTAGGAACCTTAAGAGCTTTTTTGCATTGGTGCAAAATGCAGCGGTCCATATGGTTTTGTGCAAATCCCATTGTGCACATGCATTACCTTTCCTGCGGGAGCTGCATTGGCTGCCGATTTGCTTCCGGGTGCAATTCAAGGTGTTGGTTGTCACCTTTAAAGCCCTTCATGGCTTGGGACCAGGTTATCTGAGAGACCATCCCTTGCCAGTCACATCTACCCGACCCATCAGAGTGGGCAAGCAGGGAATGGTGCAGGTCCTATCCCCCAGGGAGATATACCTCGTGGGACCCAGAAGGGCCTTCTCTGTGGGGGCCCCCTCTCTGTGTAACATCATCCCCCAAAGATTTGAATGGCCCCCACTCTAGGACTCTCCCAGAAGGAGCTGAAAACCTGGTTCTGCCAGTGGGAACCCAGAGCGGGATGGAGCACATTAAGTGGCTCATGTGAGGTGCTGTCACCATGGTAGGGGGTTATTTTATTATATTAATTTATTATATGACTCTTCTTCAATAAAAGAATAAAAGAAGAGTTTTATTGTTTTTATATGAGGTTTTATATTTTGTAAGCCGAAAACAGTCAGAGAAGGGGCTCAGCCCTGATACTTAACTCAACAGAAGTATTGAGGCAACAAGAAGAGGTTTCCGATAACCACTACTAAAAGTTGTGCTTTTTTTTTTATCTAAAAGATACTTGAAGAATAACATAGTTGTGTTTGATATTTGAAACAATATAATGAAAAACAATTAGAAATATTTCTACATGCAGAGAAGACCTTTGAGTATTTGGACTTGGCAAAAACCACAAGCAGGATTAGGGATTCGCCGTGTTCTGGTTTGCACTAGAAAGGCAATTTATGAATGCATATCTAAGAAGGTAAACAATTTATCTGAATTATTTATTTATTTTTATTTCATTTATTCAATTTATATGCCGCCTCTCTCCGAAGACCCAGGGCGGCTCACAATACACTCAAAAAATGACTATAAAAGGACTTAAAAATTAAATTACTCAAATGGTACTTGTATGAGATTTTAGACAACTATAGGTAGTCGTCGATTTACTACAGTTCATTTAGTGATTGTTCAAAGTTACAGCAGCATGGAAAAAAGTGACTTATGACCATTTTTCACACTTTTGCAACATCCCCAAGGTCACCTGATCAAACGTCAGATGCTTGGCAACAGATTTATGACATTTGCAGAGTCCCTGGATCATGTGATCACCTTTTGTGAGCTTCTAACAAGCAAATCCAATGGGGAAGCCAGATTCATTTCATAACAGTATTACTAACTTAACAACTATTGTGAGTCACTTAACAAATGTGGCAAGAAAAGTCGTCAAATGGCACAAAACGCAATAACTGTCTCGCTTAGCAACAGAAATTTTGGCCTCAATTGCAGTCATATGACGAGAACTACTTGGAGAAAAAAGAAGCTCACAAAAAGCCCTCTCCACACTGCAAACCTTTATTTGACTTATATCTTGTGTGGATCCTCTTGTGGCGATGAAGATGACTGCTATAAGTAAAGCTCTTTCCACACTCCATGCATTTATAAGGTCTTTCTCCTGTGTGGCTCCTCTTGTGGCGATGAAGATGACTGCTACAAGTAAAGCTCTTTCCACACTCCATGCATTTATAAGGTCTTTCTCCTGTGTGGCTCCTCTTGTGGGAATCAAGGTTACCGCTACAAGTAAATGTCTTTCCACACTCAGTACATTTATAAGGTCTTTCTCCTGTGTGGCTCCTCTTGTGGCGATGAAGATGACTGCTACAAGTAAAGCTCTTTCCACACTCACTACATTTATAAGGCTTCTCTCCTGCGTGGATCTTCTTGTGGTGATAAAGATTATTGTTACAAGTAAATCCCTTTCCACATTCCATGCATTTATAAGGTCTTTCTCCTGTGTGGATCCTTTGATGGATTATAAGAGACTCAGAATAACAGAAGGTCTTTCCACACTCAATGCATTTATACGTTTGTTCTCTTTTGTGGATCCTCTTGTGGGAATTAAGTCTACTCATAGCAGTAAAGGTCTTTCCACATTCCATGCATTCATAAGGTCTCTCTCCTGTGTGGATCCTTTGATGGATTATAAGGGACTCAGAATAACAGAAGCTCTTTCCACACTCAATGCATTTATACGTTTGTTCTCTTTTGTGGATCCTCTTGTGGGAATTAAGTCTACTCATAGCAGTAAAGGTCTTTCCACACTCAATGCATTCATAAGGTCTTTCTCCTGTGTGGATCCTTTGATGGATTATAAGGGACTCAGAATAACAGAAGGTCTTTCCACACTCAATGCATTTATACGTTTGTTCTCTTTTGTGGATCCTCTTGTGGGAATTAAGTCTACTCATAGCAGTAAAGGTCTTTCCACACTCAATGCATTCATAAGGTCTCTCTCCTGTGTGGATCCTTTGATGGATTATAAGGGACTCAGAATAACAGAAGCTCTTTCCACACTCAATGCATTTATACGTTTGTTCTCTTTTGTGGATCCTCTTGTGGGAATTAAGTCTACTCATAGCAGTAAAGGTCTTTCCACACTCCATGCAATTAAAAGGTCTTTCTCCTATGTGGATCCTCTTGTGGGTATCAAGGTTACCGCTACGAGTAAATGTCTTTCCACACTCACTACATTTATAAGGTCTTTCTCCTGTGTGGATCCTCTTGTGGGATTTAAGGTGCTTGCTTAAAGTAAATCCCTTTCCACACTCCATGCATTTATAAGGTCTTTCTCCTGTGTGGATCCTTTGATGGATTATAAGGGACTCAGAATAACAGAAGGTCTTTCCACACTCCATGCATTTATACGCTTGTTCTCTTTTGTGGATCCTCTTGTGGGAATTAAGATGACTGCTTAAATAAAAGGCCTTTCCGCAATCCATGCATTTATAAGGCTTCTCTCCTGCGTGGATCTTCTTGTGGTAATAAAGATTACAGCTACAAGTAAAGGTTTTTCCACACTCAATGCATTTATAAGGTCTTTCTCCTGTGTGGATCCTTTGATGGATTATAAGGGACTCAGAATAACAGAAGCTCTTTCCACACTCAATGCATTTATACGTTCGTTCTCCTTTGTGGATCCTCTGGTGGGAATTAAGATGACTGCTACGATTAAAGGACTTTCCACACTCCATGCAGGTAAATCGTTTCCCTTCTGAATGTGTATTTTCATGAGAAAAGAGATTATCGGATATATTGAACCTCTTTGTACACTCCATGGATTTATATGGTCTTTCTCTCTTATTGATCGCTGTATGGTTAGGAAGCCAACTGACCTGAGGAAGGCCTTTCTTAACTCCACTTTGTGATTGCTTTGTTTCATCACTCTTTGGTTTCATCTGATCTACAAATTTCCTTTTCCTCCCTTTTGAATGGATCGCTTGGCGTTCCTCCTTGCAATTCTTATTGTCTTCTCTATTACAGCCTTGAAAAAGAAAAATGAAAACTGTACCAAGAATAGGGGAACAAGCAAAACTTTTCTTCTGAATCGTCAATGTATTTCAGCTGTTTTGTTGGCAAACATGAAGAGTCCAAACAAAGATAATAGCAAAGACCCATTTCCAAGTGAAATGATACCCATATAATAGGATTGGATCACAGCCCTGATTTAATCTTTCATATGGGACAATTCCATGCTGCCACAAACTCCCAAAGTGCACTGGAAACTGTGTCATAATGGGGCAGCAACATACCCAGCACTTCCCAACTTCAATAAAAGTCTCATCTCCACTTGTCTACAGAGCAGAATTTTTGAAAGTCAGAGGGAATTTCTGGATGGCAATACCTCCCTACCCTCAATTTAGGCTAAAGCCAATTCCAGTACACAAGTGGGCATATCTCTAAGAAGGGAACATGCCTCTCAGAGGTCATCTGGTCTTCGTTATAGCAGCTCAGGGCCATCGGGAACACAGTGACCAGGTTCAGGAGGGAATAACGAATCTTGGTAGCCAGGATCTTGCTCTGTCCATTCAGCCTCTTCCTCAGAGTCTTCCTAATATCTTTTATGAAATGAGTATTTTGTATTTCATGAGCAGAATGCTTTTTAAAAAAACAAACAATTTACTTTATGTAAAAAGCCAGGCTATGCAGTTTTTCCTTCAATATATTTCCTTCTTCCATAAAGTCAGTTTGGTCAAAAGGTTAAGACACCGGGCTAGAAACTAATAAAGTAACAGGCATTTAAAAAAAAATTACTTTGTCATTCTTGGGTACCAATAAGGAGAAAAAAATGAATTTCAACAAATATAGAATCAAGCAGTAGCATAACAAAATTGATAAAAGTGAAGGGAGTCTGAATACATTCTGAATGCATTCCATATCCTTCCTTTATTTTTTGTAAATAAAGGCAGCAGACAAACCAAAATTTTTTCTTCCTGCTGTTTTCCATACAACAATCCTGTGAAATGGATTGGAGAGAGTTTTGGCCCAAAGTCACCCAGCCAGCATTCATGCCTAAGGCAGAACAAGTACTCACTCACAGTCACCCAGTTTCTACCCTGGTGTCTTAACCCTTTGACCAAACTGATTTTATGGAAGAAGGAAATTTATTCAAAGAAAAACTGGAAATCTGCAGGTTGTGTCTATGGAGAAGATAATTTTGACTCACTTGGTGCTTTACTGTTTTATCCCATGTATAAATATTTTTCAGCAATGTAATTGCTGAAAAATATTTCATCTTATTTGTTTTGATAAAAATATAGCATCATGCTTTTTTAACACTTAAGAAAAAAAGAAAAGAAATTGTTTTCTTTAAAAAAATGCTTTCTGCTCATAAAACACAAAATAACCCCTTTCAACAACTGTTGAATCATGCTAAAGCATAACAAAATTCTACAAAGTCAGAATCCTTTCTGAATGCATTGTAAATAAATGATTTTTTTCCCCAGAAATAACATTCAAGCCCCTTCTCTACATTCCTGAGCACAGAAAGGAATTCTTACCCAGGTAAGCCAGATTCCTGGAATTCTCCAGCATGACTTCTCTGTGGAGTTCTCTTTGGTCAGCATCCAGTTGAGACCACTCCTCCTTGGAGAAATACACGGCCACTTCCTCAAAAGACACAACATCCTGAACAAGGACACAAGTTTTCTTATTAACAGATAATTCCAAGAATAATGAGATAATTTTCTTCCACCAATTCTAGGAAAGAGATCTAGTGAATAAAATGGGTATTTTCTGCAGTATTAAGAATAAGATCTCACCGCTTTTGGCTGATGGCACAACTAAATCATGTTTGATCGAGCTGGAAGTGTTTGGAATGCCTTAACGTATAGGCAACTAAAATATTCTTGATCAATTGACAGTTGGATCTTAAATCCACTACTTGTCAGTGACTCCCATTCTTCCTAGGATGGGCAGAGAGAAGTACTGGCAAAACCCACCTGACATGTTTTCCAATGGCTCATTTTATCCATTGAGGGACCAACGTACCCCAACTCCACACCTTCATGAAGGAGTTGGAAGAGGTTGTAATAGAACTCTATATGTCTATGGAGATTCTCAATCAGCAAATCATGATTGTCCCAAAGACGCTTTTCAAAAGCACAAAAGGATTTTTTTTTTTTGTAATGGTGTGTGAGAATAACCCACACATTGAAATCTGATGGTGAAGCAGGAGGGGTGGAGAAAGCGACTCACAAAGGATCCCCTCAGAAGGGAGAAAGTAGGCTAATCTGAGCGTGAATGTTCAATGACCTGATGTCAAATTCATATTGCTTAGAAACAACAATTTCATACATTGAACTCTAGAACAAAATAAAATCTATCCAAGATTCATGAACCTTTTCCTATGTTTCTTCTCCTTACCTGAAGTAGCGGTTCAGCTAATCCTTCAACTTCATCAGAAAGAGGTGATTCTAAAAACTCCAAGGACAGCTTTCTACTCTCTGGGAGAAAGAGAAAAATACTGGAAGCAGATTTCTTAAAGAGAGACACTCCAATAAAGCAGAGCAAAAGAATCGGCTAAATATTGAGCTCTCACAGTAAGAGCTTGTTACCTGGAGTGGTGTCCTGAGTTTGATCTTTGTGTAAGGTCTCCATGAACAGCAGCTCTTGAGAACATTTGAATGAATTTTTCCTGTTCTTGGGATATTCAGTCACAGCTTCCGTGCATTTCTGGACATGATGTGACACAAGAAAAAAAGGAAAAGTACACAGATAAAAATTATCATACTACATTTTCAAACTAGCAGGCCTCAATGTCCATTGCTGAAACTCGAAAGAGAACGGAAGAATTGCCCCAAATACATCCTCTGGAAGAATAGAACAGATGCCCTTAGGAATTAATAATCCCAGAAAATTCTGCCAGAAAGGAATTGACAACTTCAGAGAGATCCTCTTTGGAGCTGCCATGATTCCATTCTCCCACCTGCAACTCTTCCTGCATGTTTTCCTCCTCCTGAGTCAGGAAGAAGCCTTCAGCCAGGGACACCGCCTGGGAACTGGTCTCTGCTCCACACTCCCGCACCCATTTCGCCATCTCTGGGGGAAGAACAGCCAGGAATTGTTGCAGGAGCACCAGGTCCAGCATCTGAGCCTTGGTGTGTTTTTCTGGTTGCAGCCACTGACGACAAAGGTAGTGAAGCTGAGTGCAAACATCTCGGGGACGGCTCCCCTCCTTAAACTGCACTTTTGTGAAGTGACAGCATTGGATCTCTGAACTGAGACCATTGGATGCCTCTTCGTGGCTCTTCTGCCCAGGACTTGCCCCATTCTTCCCACAGCTCCAAGGCTGAGCAGCTGGAGGGCCTTTTCTAACTTCTGTATCTGCTGGGTGTTGTCCCTCCATCTTCTCTCTGGTCTCTAAAAAAGCTCCAAAATGCACCCACGGGTCTCCGTTGGTCTTTCTATTCACAAGAGGTCTGGCCAAATTTTCCAAGGCCATTCAGCTCTCTCTTCCCAGAGAAGATTTGTAAGATTCCCGAAGAACCAGAATTTTTTTTTTGATGTATCTGAGATGGAAAAATGGGGAGGAGGGGAGGGGAGGGAAGATTAAGTAAAGAAATTTGTATGAACCCACCAAGGTTTGAGGGGAAATCTTATTAGCCAGCTTGCTCTCTCTACATCTGGGGAAATTTGCCTTGAACCCTTCAGGATCAATGTCTATCAAAATATTGGAAAATACATTTAAATGAGTATTTGATTTCTACTTCCTAGTTTCTATTAAAAATTTAGTTTTTATTCTTATGTCTTCTGTATTACTTTTGTAAATTACCCTAGGCAGAAATTATACATAATGCTCCTTCTTACTCTTTCCCCCCCAACAACAGCCCTGTGAAGTAGATTGGGCTGAGAACTGGGATGGCCTCAAGACTTTCATGCCAAAGGTTGGACTAGAAAGTTAATCTCCTGTGTCAGGGCATTGATTAATCCCATAATTGGCTCTGGGACAAATCACCCTGATTAGAGGATGGATCGAGGCTTTATCCAAGTTGCAATATTCTGAAAAGAAAACCCGAAGAAAAGTTCTCTAATAAAACTCATTTATTTGTTATAAAGAAAATAAAACACCTCACTAAGAAAGAGAATTGCTACATTTTGAAATAGTTCGGGCCAGCTGCTTTCCAGCAACCGGGACCCATGGCAAGAGAACAAAGGAAAAAAAGTGTGTGAAGGAATGTGGGTGGATGGACATGCGTAGTAGCTTTTGATAACAATTCTTGGCAAGGTACGGAAAGTCTGATAGTCCAGAAATGATGAAGCTCAGCTGGTAAATAAAATAACGCAGTGACATCCTGGTTTCAAAGCCTTGTGCTTTCATCACTGAGCCAAATGGTCTCTCTGGCTAATCATAATTTAGTACAATATAATTTAAAAGACAGTTTAATAGCATTTCTATGGCTGCATAGTTAAGAACAAGTCCTTGCACCCCTTGCACCCAACTCCTTACACACGGAGTTGAAGCCTTGCATGCAAAGCCAGCAGGAGGGACTCCGACGGCTCGCTTCTCTCGGCCCTTATAAAAAGGGGAAGGGAGGGAAACCCCTTCGGAAAACGGGGCCATGAAATATGCAGGAAACTGTCCAGGAGTCAAGACTGACTTGGAGGCACCAATCTCTGTTTTGCAAACACTTTTCCTCCTCCTCTCCCGCCATGCAAAGCTCTTACCGTCGAAATGGATTGTAAATCCTCTTTTCTGCGACCCTGTTTTTTTTCCCCCCTGGGGGCAAATGGAAGGGCGCGAAGCTTTGCTTTCCCCCCTGCCTGGCCCTTGCATGCACAGGGACGGCAGGGGAACATGGGGCCAATGGCTCCCCCTCCCCCTTTCCACGACTCCGAGCCTGAGGAATGTGAGCGTCCAGCGCGGGAGAAAAGTCACCCACCCCCCCAGTCACTGAACCCCCCACTCACGTCTGTACCTCCAAGTCCAAGTCTTCCCTGCAGCCTCTTCCCTTCCCTGAAAGGCTCCTCCGGGCACTGGAGAACCTTTCAAGCCTCGGCAGTCTCGCACCCCTCTCGACTTGGGAAAGAGACCGGCGCATGCTCAGTTCTCTCGTAAGCGACGGAGGGAGGGAGGGAGCTGCACCGCTCTTCGAGGGCGCCCCCTAGAGGATCCTGTGTGCATTGCGAGAAGGTCCTGCAAGGGCTCCGGACGTCATGTTCCACACGTATCTGGGTTGATGGGCATTAAATTTGAAGGAAAGGTTCCCTCTAAGATTGCCTATCTAGAAAGGAAGTGGCATCTCCAGCAAGCATCAGTTTCTAGATTTTCCATCTTTTTAACCTCTTAAGAACTGTCTGTGATCTTGTGAAGATTGAGAAAATCTCTGTGGAGACTCAAAAATCCCTTTTCTGAAGAGCAGCTTCTCTGAAGGGAGGGATTCCCAGGAGGAGGCCTCAAAAATGAGGAAAATCCTGTCAGAAATGGCAGGGCGGTCAAAAGACAAGGAAGAAAAGTCTCTCTATGAAACCCAGCCTGTGTCTTGTGGCGGATGGCAAACTCAGCCTTGAAGTGAGGGGAGATCAGGGGGCTGGCAGAGACACAGGGAGGAAAGTGAAAGGTTGAGGAAATTTGAGATTTGTATTGATTTTTCTTTAGTGAGTTCAATTATTACAGCTGCCATTCTAAATTCATGCCTCTGCTTAGCCAAGGAAACACTAAAGACAGCCTGTAATACTGAGAATAACCATACATCCCAATGAAAACAAAGCATTAAAAGAAAAGCTCGAAAATGGAGTGAAAGCTCAAACTTGTGGGCCTTTAAAAATTTTTACTTCAAAACAAGCCACCATGATGGAGAAATTAAGATTGGGAGAATAAAGTCTCATATGTGGCTAGAGAAAAAGTGGAATCACAAAATGAAGGAAAGCAAATACTGAAAAATAAATATAAATCTCAAATACTACGAGGCGAAAAAAAAAGAGAGAGATGAATAGTTTTATTTTGGTTGTTGAATAGGCAATACACCTCAGGAAATTTGAGTAGGAACCTTAAGAGCTTTTTTGCATTGGTGCAAAATGCAGCGGTCCATATGGTTTTGTGCAAATCCCATTGTGCACATGCATTACCTTTCCTGCGGGAGCTGCATTGGCTGCCGATTTGCTTCCGGGTGCAATTCAAGGTGTTGGTTGTCACCTTTAAAGCCCTTCATGGCTTGGAACCAGGTTATCTGAGAGACCATCCCTTGCGAGTCACATCTACCCGACCCATCAGAGTGGGCTGGCAGGGAATGGTGCAGGTCCTATCCCCCAGGGAGATACATCTGGTGGGACCCAGAAGGGCCTTCTCTGTGGGGGCCCCCTCTCTGTGTAACATCATCCCCCAAAGATTTGAATGGCCCCCACTCTAGGACTCTCCCAGAAGGAGCTGAAAACCTGGTTCTGCCACTGGGAACCCAGAGCGGGATGGAGCACATTAAGTGGCTCATGTGCGGTGCTGTCACCATGGTAGGGGGTTATTTTATTATATTAATTTATTATATGACTCTTCTTTAATAAAAGAATAAAAGAAGAGTTTTATTGTTTTTATATGAGGTTTTATATTTTGTAAGCCGAAAACAGCCAGAGAAGGGGCTCAGCCCTGATACTTAGCCCAACAGAAGTATTGAGGCAACAAGAAGAGGTTTCCGATAACCTCTAATAAAAGTTGTGCTTTTTTTTATCTAAAAGATACTTGAAGAATAACATTATAGTTGTGTTTGATATTTGAAACAATATAATGAAAAACAATTAGAAATATTTCTACATGCAGAGAAGACCTTTGAGTATTTGGACTTGGCAAAAACCACAAGCAGGATTAGGGATTCGCCGTGTTCTGGTTTGCACTAGAAAGGCAATTTATGAATGCATATCTAAGAAGGTAAACAATTTATTTGAATTATTTATTTATTTTTATTTCATTTACTCAATTTATATGCCGCCTCTCTCCGAAGACCCAGGGCGGCTCACAATACACTCAAAAAATGACTATAAAAGGACTTAAAAATTAAATTACTCAAATGGTACTTGTATGAGATTTTAGACAACTATAGGTAGTCGTCGATTTACTACAGTTCATTTAGTGATTGTTCAAAGTTACAGCAGCATGGAAAAAAGTGACTTATGACCATTTTTCACACTTTTGCAACATCCCCAAGGTCACCTGATCAAACGTCAGATGCTTGGCAACAGATTTATGACAGTTGCAGAGTCCCTGGATCATGTGATCACCTTTTGTGAGCTTCTAACAAGCAAATCCAATGGGGAAGCCAGATTCATTTCATAACAGTATTACTAACTTAACAACTATTGTGAGTCACTTAACAAATGTGGCAAGAAAAGTCGTCAAATGGCACAAAACGCAATAACTGTCTCGCTTAGCAACAGAAATTTTGGCCTCAATTGCAGTCATATGACGAGAACTACTTGGAGAAAAAAGAAGCTTACAAAAAGCCCTCTCCACACTGCAAACCTTTATTTGACTTATATCTTGTGTGGCTCCTCTTGTGGCGATGAAGATGACCACTACAAGTAAAGCTCTTTCCACACTCCATGCATTTATAAGGTCTTTCTCCTGTGTGGATCCTCTTGTGGGTATCAAGGTTACCACTACGATTAAATGTCTTTCCACACTCACTACATTTATAAGGTCTCTCTCCTGTGTGGATCCTCTTGTGGGAATTAAGACTGCTGCTACAAGTAAAGGTCTTTCCACACTCCATGCATTTATAAGGTCTTTCTCCTGTGTGGATCCTCTTGTGGGATTTAAGGTGCTTGCTTAAAGTAAATCCCTTTCCACACTCCATGCATTTATAAGGTCTTTCTCCTGTGTGGATCCTTTGATGGATTATAAGGGACTCAGAATAACAGAAGGTCTTTCCACACTCCATGCATTTATACGCTTGTTCTCTTTTGTGGATCCTCTTGTGGGAATTAAGATGACTGCTTAAATAAAAGGCCTTTCCACAATCCATGCATTTATAAGGCTTCTCTCCTGCGTGGATCTTCTTGTGGTAATAAAGATTACTGTTACAAGTAAAGGTCTTTCCACACTCCATACATTTATATGTTCGTTCTCCTTTGTGGATCCTCTGGTGGGAATTAAGATGACTGCTACGATTAAAGGACTTTCCACACTCCATGCAGGTAAATCGTTTCCCTTCTGAATGTGTATTTTCATGAGAAAAGAGATTATCGGATATATTGAACCTCTTTGTACACTCCATGGATTTATATGGTCTTTCTCTCTTATTGATCACTGTATGGTTAGGAAGCCAACTGACCTGAGGAAGGCCTTTCTTAACTCCACTTTGTGATTGCTTTGTTTCATCACTCTTTGGTTTCATCTGATCTACAAATTTCCTTTTCCTCCCTTTTGAATGGATCGCTTGGCGTTCCTCCTTGCAATTCTTATTGTCTTCTCTATTACAGCCTTGAAAAAGAAAAATGAAAACTGTACCAAGAATAGGGGAACAAGCAAAACTTTTCTTCTGAATCGTCAATGTATTTCAGCTGTTTTGTTGGCAAACATGAAGAGTCCAAGCAAAGATAACAGCAAAGACCCATTTCCAAGTGAAATGATCCCCATATAATAGGATTGGATCACAGCCCTGATTTAATCTTTCATATGGGACAATTCCATGCTGCCAAAAACTCCCAAAGTGCACTGGAAACTGTGTCATAATGGGGCAGCAACATACCCAGCACTTCCCAACTTCAATAAAAGTCTCATCTCCACTTGTCTACAGAGCAGAATTTTTGAAAGTCAGAGGGAATTTCTGGATGGCAATACCTCCCTACCCTCAATTTAGACTAAAGCCAAATCCAGTACACAAGTGGGCATATCTCTAAGAAGGGAACATGCCTCTCGGAGGTCATCTGGTCTTCGTTATAGCAGCTCAGGGCCATCGGGAACACAGTGACCAGGTTCAGGAGGGAATAACGAATCTTGGTAGCCAGGATCTTGCTCTGTCCATTCAGCCTCTTCCTCAGAGTCTTCCTAATATCTTTTATGAAATGAGTATTTTGTATTTCATGAGCAGAATGCTTTTTGAAAAAACAAACAATTTACTTTATGTAAAAAGCCAGGCTATGCAGTTTTTCCTTCAATATATTTCCTTCTTCCATAAAGTCAGTTTGGTCAAAAGGTTAAGACACCGGGCTAGAAACTAATAAAGTAACAGACATTTAAAAAAAAAATACTCTGTGATTCTTGGGTACCAATAAGGAGAAAAAAATGAATTTCAACAAATATAGAATCAAGCAGTAGCATAACAAAATTGATAAAAGTGAAGGGAGTCTGAATACATTCTGAATGCATTCCATATCCTTCCTTTATTTTTTGTAAATAAAGGCAGCAGACAAACCAAAATTTTTTCTTCCTGCTGTTTTCCATACAACAATCCTGTGAAATGGATTGGAGAGAGTTTTGGCCCAAAGTCACCCAGCCAGCATTCATGCCTAAGGCAGAACAAGTACTCACTCACAGTCACCCAGTTTCTACCCTGGTGTCTTAACCCTTTGACCAAACTGATTTTATGGAAGAAGGAAATTTATTCAAAGAAAAATTGGAAATCTGCAGGTGGTGTCTATGTTCCATGATGGAGAAGATAATTTTGACTCACTTGGTGCTTTACTGTTTTATCCCATGTATAAATATTTTTCAGCAATGTAATTGCTGAAAAATATTTCATCTTATTTGTTTTGATTAAAAAATAGCATCATGCTTTTTTAACACTTAAGAAAAAAAGAAAAGAAATTGTTTTCTTTAAAAAAATGCTTTCTGCTCATAAAACACAAAATAACCCCTTTCAACAACTGTTGAATCATGCTACAGCATAACAAAATTCTACAAAGTCAGAATCCTTTCTGAATGCATTGTAAATAAATGATTTTTTCCCCCAGAAATAACATTCAAGCCCCTTCTCTACATTCCTGAGCACAGAAAGGAATTCTTACCCAGGTAAGCCAGATTCCTGGAATTCTCCAGCATGACTTCTCTGTGGAGTTCTCTTTGGTTAGCATCCAGTTGAGACCACTCCTCCTTGGAGAAATACACGGCCACTTCCTCAAAAGACACAACATCCTGAACAAGGACACAAGTTTTCTTATTAACAGATAATTCCAAGAATAATGAGATAATTTTCTTCCACCAATTCTAGGAAAGAGATCTAGTGAATAAAATGGGTATTTTCTGCAGTATTAAGAATAAGATCTCACCGCTTTTGGCTGATGGCACAACTAAATCATGTTTGATCGAGCTGGAAGTGTTTGGAATGCCTTAACGTATAGGCAACTAAAATATTCTTGATCAATTGACAGTTGGGTCTTAAATCCACTACTTGTCAGTGACTCCCATTCTTCCTAGGATGGGCAGAGAGAAGTACTGGCAAAACCCACCTGACATGTTTTCCAATGGCTCATTTTATCCATTGAGGGACCAACGTACCCCAACTCCACACCTTCATGAAGGAGTTGGAAGAGGTTGTAATAGAATTCTATATGTCTATGGAGATTCTCAATCAGCAAATCATGATTGTCCCAAAGACGCTTTTCAAAAGCACAAAAGGATTTTTTTTTTTTGTAATGGTGTGTGAGAATAACCCACACATTGAAATCTGATGGTGAAGCAGGAGGGGTGGAGAAAGCGACTCACAAAGGATCCCCTCAGAAGGGAGAAGGTAGGCTAATCTGAGCGTGAATGTTCAATGACCTGATGTCAAATTCATATTGCTTACAAACAACAATTTCATACATTGAACTCTAGAACAAAATAAAATCTATCCAAGATTCATGAACCTTTTCCTATGTTTCTTCTCCTTACCTGAAGTAGCGGTTCAGCTAATCCTTCAACTTCATCAGAAAGAGGTGATTCTAAAAACTCCAAGGACAGCTTTCTACTCTCTGGGAGAAAGAGAAAAATACTGGAAGCAGATTTCTTAAAGAGAGACACTCCAATAAAGCAGAGCAAAAGAATCGGCTAAATATTGAGCTCTCACAGTAAGAGCTTGTTACCTGGAGTGGTGTCCTGAGTTTGATCTTTGTGTAAGGTCTCCATGAACAGCAGCTCTTGAGAACATTTGAATGAATTTTTCCTGTTCTTGGGATATTCAGTCACAGCTTCCGTGCATTTCTGGACATGATGTGACACAAGAAAAAAAGGAAAAGTACACAGATAAAAATTATCATACTACATTTTCAAACTAGCAGGCCTCAATGTCCATTGCTGAAACTCGAAAGAGAACGGAAGAATTGCCCCAAATACATCCTCTGGAAGAATAGAACAGATGCCCTTAGGAATTAATAATCCCAGAAAATTCTGCCAGAAAGGAATTGACAACTTCAGAGAGATCCTCTTTGGAGCCGCCATGATTACATTCTCCCACCTGCAACTCTTCCTGCATGTTTTCCTCCTCCTGAGTCAGCAAGAAGCCTTCAGCCAGGGACACCGCCTGGGAACTGGTCTCTGCTCCACACTCCCGCACCCATTTTGCCATCTCTGGGGGAAGGACAGCCAGGAATTGTTCCAGGAGCACCAGGTCCAGCATCTGAGCCTTGGTGTGTTTTTCTGGTTGCAGCCACTGACGACAAAGGTAGTGAAGCTGAGTGCAAACATCTCGGGGACGGCTCCCCTCCTGAAACTGCACTTTTGTGAAGTGACAGCATTGGACCCCTGAAGTGTTGGATGCCTCTTCGTGGCTCTTCTGCCCAGGACTTGCCCCATTCTTCCCACAGCTCCAAGGCTGAGCAGCTGGAGGGCCTTTTCTAACTTCTGTATCTGCTGGGTGTTGTCCCTCCATCTTCTCTCTGGTCTCTAAAAAAGCTCCAAAATGCACCCACGGGTCTCCGTTGGTCTTTCTATTCACAAGAGGTCTGGCCAAATTTTCCAAGGCCATTCAGCTCTCTCTTCCCAGACAAGATTTGTAAGATTCCCGAAGAACCAGAAATTTTTTTTTGATGTATCTGAGATGGAAAAATGGGGAGGAGGGGAGGGGAGGGAAGATTAAGTAAAGAAATTTGTATGAACCCACCAAGGTTTGAGGGGAAATCTTATTAGCCAGCTTGCTCTCTCTACATCTGGGGAAATTTGCCCAGAACCCTTCAGGATCAATGTCTATCAAAATATTGGAAAATACATTTAAATGAGTATTTGATTTCTACTTCCTAGTTTCTATTAAAAATTTAGTTTTTATTCTTATGTCTTCTGTATTACTTTTGTAAATTATCCTAGGCAGAAATTATACATAATGCTCCTTCTTACTCTTTTCCCCCCAACAACAGCCCTGTGAAGTAGATTGGGCTGAGAACTGGGATGGCCTCAAGACTTTCATGCCAAAGGTTGGACTAGAAAGTTAATCTCCTGTGTCAGGGCATTGATTAATCCCATAATTGGCTCTGGGACAAATCACCCTGATTAGAGGATGGATCGAGGCTTTATCTAAGTTGCAATATTCTGAAAAGAAAACCCGAAGAAAAGTTCTCTAATAAAACTCATTTATTTGTTATAAAGAAAATAAAACACCTCACTAACTAAGAAAGATAATTGCTACCTTTTGAAATAGTTCGGGCCAGCTGCTTTCCAGCAACGGGCACCCGTGGCAAGAGAACAAAGGAAAAAAAGTGTGTGAAGGAATGTGGGTGGATGGACATGCGTAGTAGCTTTTGATAACAATTCTTGGCAAGGTACGGAAAGTCTGATAGTCCAGAAATGATGAAGCTCAGCTGGTAAATAAAATAACGCACTGACATCCTGGTTTCAAAGCCTTGTGCTTTCATCACTGAGCCAAAGGGTCTCTCTGGCTAATCATAATTTAATACAGTATAATTTAAAAGACAGTTTAATAGCATTTCTATGGCTGCATAGTTAAGAACAAGTCCTTGCACCCCTTGCACCCAACTCCTTACACACGGAGTTGAAGCCTTGCATGCAAAGCCAGCAGGAGGGACTCCGACCGCTCGCTTCTCTCGGCCCTTATAAAAAGGGGAAGGGAGGGAAACCCCTTCGGAAAACGGGGCCATGAAATATGCAGGAAACTGTCCAGGGGTCACGACTGACGTGGAGGCACAAAGCTCTGTTTTGCAAACACTTCTCCTCCTCCTCTCCCGCCATGCAAAGCTCTTACCGTCGAAATGGATTGTAAATCCTCTTTTCTGCGACCCTGTTTTTTTTTCCCCCTGGGGGCAAATGGAAGGGCGCGAAGCTTTGCTTTCCCCCCTGCCTGGCCCTTGCATGCACAGGGACGGCAGGGGAACATGGGGCCAATGGCTCCCCCTCCCCCTTTCCACGACTCCGAGCCTGAGGAATGTGAGCGTCCAGCGCGGGAGAAAAGTCACCCACCCCCCCAGTCACTGAACCCCCCACTCACGTCTGTACCTCCAAGTCCAAGTCTTCCCTGCAGCCTCTTCCCTTCCCTGAAAGGCTCCTCCGGGCACTGGAGAACCTTTCAAGCCTCGGGAGTCTCGCACCCCTCTCCACTTGGGAAAGAGACCGGCGCATGCTCAGTTCTCTCGTAAGCGAGGGAGGGAGGGAGCTGCACCGCTCTTCCAGGGCGCCCCCTAGAGGATCCTGTGTGCATTGCGAGAAGATCCTGCAAGGGCTCAGGATGCCATGTTCCACACGTGTCTGGGATGATGGGCATTAAACTTGAAGGAAAGGTTCCCTCTAAGATTGCCTATCTAGAAATGAAATGACCTCTCCAGCAAGCATCAGTTTCTAGATTTTCCCTCTTTTTAACCTCTTAAGAACCGTCTGTGATCTTGTGAAGACTGAGAAAATCTCTGTGGAGACTCAAAAATCCCTTTCCTGAAGAGCAGCTTCTCTGAAGGGTCTCCAGGGATTCCCAGGAGGAGGCCTCAAAAATGAGCAAAATCCAGTCAGAAATGGCAGGGCGGTCAAAAGACAAGGAAGAAAAGTCTCTCTATGAAACCCAGCCTGTGTCTTGTGGCGGATGGCAAACTCAGCCTTGAAGTGAGGGGAGATCAGGGGGCTTGCAGAGACACAGGGAGGAAAGTGAAAGGTTGAGGAAATTTGAGATTTGTATTGATTTTTCTTTAGTGAGTTCAATTATTACAGCTGCCATTCTAAATTCATGCCTCTGCTTAGCCAAGGAAACACTAAAGACAGCCTGTAATACTGAGAATAACCATACATCCCAATGAAAACAAAGCATTAAAAGAAAAGCTCGAAAATGGAGTGAAAGCTCAAACTTGTGGGCCTTTAAAAAATTTTACTTCAAAACAAGCCACCATGATGGAGAAATTAAGATTGGGAGAATAAAGTCTCATATGTGGCTAGAGAAAAAGTGGAATCACAAAATGAAGGAAAGCAAATACTGAAAAATAAATATAAATCTCAAATACTACGAGGCGGAAAAAAAAGAGAGAGAGATGAATAGTTTTATTTTGGTTGTTGAATAGGCAATACACCTCAGGAAATTTGAGTAGGAAGCTTAAGAGCTTTTTTGCATTGGTGCAAAATGCAGCGGTCCATATGGTTTTCTGCAAATCCCATTGTGCACATGCATTACCTTTCCTGCGGGAGCTGCATTGGCTGCCAATTTGCTTCCGGGTGCAATTCAAGGTGTTGGTTGTCACCTTTAAAGCCCTTCATGGCTTGGAACCAGGTTACCTGAGAGACCATCCCTTGCGAGTCACATCTACCCGACCCATCAGAGTGGGCTGGCAGGGAATGGTGCAGGTCCTATCCCCCAGGGAGATACATCTGGTGGGACCCAGAAGGGCCTTCTCTGTGGGGGCCCCCTCTCTGTGTAACATCATCCCCCAAAGATTTGAATGGCCCCCACTCTAGGACTCTCCCAGAAGGAGCTGAAAACCTGGTTCTGCCACTGGGAACCCAGAGCGGGATGGAGCACATTAAGTGGCTCATGTGCGGTGCTGTCACCTTGGTAGGGGGTTATTTTATTATATTAATTTATTATATGACTCTTCTTTAATAAAAGAATAAAAGAAGAGTTTTATTGTTTTTATATGAGGTTTTATATTTTGTAAGCCGAAAACAGCCAGAGAAGGGGCTCAGCCCTGATACTTAGCCCAACAGAAGTATTGAGGCAACAAGAAGAGGTTTCAGATAACCTCTAATAAAAGTTGTGCTTTTTTTTATCTAAAAGATACTTGAAGAATAACATCATAGTTGTGTTTGATATTTGAAACAATATAATGAAAAACAATTAGAAATATTTCTACATGCAGAGAAGACCTTTGAGTATTTGGACTTGGCAAAAACCACAAGCAGGATTAGGGATTCACCGTGTTCTGGTTTGCACTAGAAAGGCAATTTATGAATGCATATCTAAGAAGGTAAACAATTTATTTGAATTATTTATTTATTTTTATTTCATTTACTCAATTTATATGCCGCCTCTCTCCGAAGACCCAGGGCGGCTCACAATACACTCAAAAAATGACTATAAAAGGACTTAAAAATTAAATTACTCAAATGGTACTTGTATGAGATTTTAGACAACTATAGGTAGTCATCGATTTACTACAGTTCATTTAGTGATTGTTCAAAGTTACAGCAACATGGAAAAAAGCGACTTATGACCATTTCTCACACTTATGGCCATTGCAACATCCCCAAGGTCACCTGATCAAACGTCAGATGCTTGGCAACAGATTTATGACAGTTGCAGAGTCCCTGGATCATGTGATCACCTTTTGTGAGCTTCTAACAAGCAAATCCAATGGGGAAGCCAGATTCATTTCATAACAGTATTACTAACTTAACAACTATTGTGAGTCACTTAACAAATGTGGCAAGAAAAGTCGTCAAATGGCACAAAACGCAATAACTGTCTCGCTTAGCAACAGAAATTTTGGCCTCAATTGCAGTCATATGACGAGAACTACTTGGAGAAAAAAGAAGCTTACAAAAAGCCCTCTCCACACTGCAAACCTTTATTTGACTTATATCTTGTGTGGCTCCTCTTGTGGCGATGAAGATGACCACTACAAGTAAAGCTCTTTCCACACTCCATGCATTTATAAGGTCTTTCTCCTGTGTGGATCCTCTTGTGGGTATCAAGGTTACCGCTACGATTAAATGTCTTTCCACACTCACTACATTTATAAGGTCTCTCTCCTGTGTGGATCCTCTTGTGGGAATTAAGACTGCTGCTACAAGTAAAGGTCTTTCCACACTCCATGCATTTATAAGGTCTTTCTCCTGTGTGGATCCTCTTGTGGGATTTAAGGTGCTTGCTTAAAGTAAATCCCTTTCCACACTCCATGCATTTATAAGGTCTTTCTCCTGTGTGGATCCTTTGATGGATTATAAGGGACTCAGAATAACAGAAGGTCTTTCCACACTCCATGCATTTATACGCTTGTTCTCTTTTGTGGATCCTCTTGTGGGAATTAAGATGACTGCTTAAATAAAAGGCCTTTCCACAATCCATGCATTTATAAGGCTTCTCTCCTGCGTGGATCTTCTTGTGGTAATAAAGATTACTGTTACAAGTAAAGGTCTTTCCACACTCCATACATTTATATGTTCGTTCTCCTTTGTGGATCCTCTGGTGGGAATTAAGATGACTGCTACGATTAAAGGACTTTCCACACTCCATGCAGGTAAATCGTTTCCCTTCTGAATGTGTATTTTTATGAGAAAAGAGATTATCGGATATATTGAACCTCTTTGTACACTCCATGGATTTATATGGTCTTTCTCTCTTATTGATCACTGTATGGTTAGGAAGCCAACTGACCTGAGGAAGGCCTTTCTTAACTCCACTTTGTGATTGCTTTGTTTCATCACTCTTTGGTTTCATCTGATCTACAAATTTCCTTTTCCTCCCTTTTGAATGGATCGCTTGGCGTTCCTCCTTGCAATTCTTATTGTCTTCTCTATTACAGCCTTGAAAAAGAAAAATGAAAACTGTACCAAGAATAGGGGAACAAGCAAAACTTTTCTTCTGAATCGTCAATGTATTTCAGCTGTTTTGTTGGCAAACATGAAGAGTCCAAACAAAGATAATAGCAAAGACCCATTTCCAAGTGAAATGATCCCCATATAATAGGATTGGATCACAGCCCTGATTTAATCTTTCATATGGGACTATTCCATGCTGCCAAAAACTCCCAAAGTGCACTGGAAACTGTGTCATAATGGGGCAGCAACATACCCAGCACTTCCCAACTTCAATAAAAGTCTCATCTCCACTTGTCTACAGAGCAGAATTTTGGAAAGTCAGAGGGAATTTCTGGATGGCAATACCTCCCTACCCTCAATTTAGGCTAAAGCCAATTCCAGTACACAAGTGGGCATATCTCTAAGAAGGGAACATGCCTCCCAGAGGTCATCTGGTCTTCGTTATAGCAGCTCAGGGCCATCGGGAACACAGTGACCAGGTTCAGGAGGGAATAACGAATCTTGGTAGCCAGGATCTTGCTCTGTCCATTCAGCCTCTTCCTCAGAGTCTTCCTAATATCTTTTATGAAATGAGTATTTTGTATTTCATGAGCAGAATGCTTTTTTTAAAAAACAAACAATTTACTTTATGTAAAAAGCCAGGCTATGCAGTTTTTCCTTCAATATATTTCCTTCTTCCATAAAGTCAGCTTGGTCAAAAGGTTAAGACACCGGGCTAGAAACTAATAAAGTAACAGGCATTTTAAAAAAAATACTTTGTCATTCTTGGGTACCAATAAGGAGAAAAAAATGAATTTCAACAAATATAGAATCAAGCAGTAGCATAACAAAATTGATAAAAGTGAAGGGAGTCTGAATACATTCTGAATGCATTCCATATCCTTCCTTCATTTTTTGTAAATAAAGGCAGCAGACAAACCAAAATTCTTTCTTCCTGCTGTTTTCCATACAACAATCCTGTGAAATGGATTGGAGAGAGTTTTGGCCCAAAGTCACCCAGCCAGCATTCATGCCTAAGGCAGAACAAGTACTCATTCACAGTCACCCAGTTTCTACCCTGGTGTCTTAACCCTTTGACCAAGCTGATTTTATGGAAGAAGGAAATTTATTCAAAGAAAAACTGGAAATCTGCAGGTTGTGTCTATGGAGAAGATAATTTTGACTCACTTGGTGCTTTACTGTTTTATCCCATGTATAAATATTTTTCAGCAATGTAATTGCTGAAAAATATTTCATCTTATTTGTTTTGATAAAAAAATAGCATCATGCTTTTTTAACACTTAAGAAAAAAAGAAAAGAAATTGTTTTATTTAAAAAAATGCTTTCTGCTCATAAAACACAAAATAACCCCTTTCAACAACTGTTGAATCATGCTACAGCATAACAAAATTCTACAAAGTCAGAATCCTTTCTGAATGCATTGTAAATAAATGATTTTTTTCCCCAGAAATAACATTCAAGCCCCTTCTCTACATTCCTGAGCACAGAAAGGAATTCTTACCCAGGTAAGCCAGATTCCTGGAATTCTCCAGCATGACTTCTCTGTGGAGTTCTCTTTGGTTAGCATCCAGCTGAGACCACTCCTCCTTGGAGAAATACACGGCCACTTCCTCAAAAGACACAACATCCTGAACAAGGACACAAGTTTTCTTATTAACAGATAATTCCAAGAATAATGAGATAATTTTCTTCCACCAATTCTAGGAAAGAGATCTAGTGAATAAAATGGGTATTTTCTGCAGTATTAAGAATAAGATCTCACCGCTTTTGGCTGATGGCACAACTAAATCATGTTTGATCAAGCTGGAAGTGTTTGGAATGCCTTATGGTATAGGCAACTAAAATATTCTTGATCAATTGGTAGTTGGGTCTTAAATCCACTACTTGTCAGTGACTCCCATTCTTTCTAGGATGGGCAGAGAGAAGTACTGGCAAAACCCACCTGACATGTTTTCCAATGGCTCATTTTATCCATTGAGGGACCAACGTACCCCAACTCCACACCTTCATGAAGGAGTTGGAAGAGGTTGTAATAGAATTCTATATGTCTATGGAGATTCTCAATCAGCAAATCATGATTGTCCCAAAGACGCTTTTCAAAAGCACAAAAGGATATTTTTTGTGTAATGGTGTGTGAGAATAACCCACACATTGAAATCTGATGGTGAAGCAGGAGGGGTGGAGAAAGCGACTCACAAAGGATCCCCTCAGAAGGGAGAAGATAGGCTAATCTGACTGTGAATGTTCAATGACCTGATGTCAAATTCATATTGCTTAGAAACAACAATTTCATACATTGAACTCTAGAACAAAATAAAATCTATCCAAGATTATAATGTCACTCGGGGGGTTTTTATACAAAGAGGTTCTTTTTACAGATGCGGGCAGATGGCAGATGAAGACATTGCAGACACTGTTGGATGAAGGGATTAATTTAACTTGGTTACAATATAATCAATTACAACTGAGATGGAAAGAGGACCAAAAAACTGGTATTATGTTGCACGAGGAAGAATTGGTTAGACATATAAGAGAGAAAGGTCCAATGCATATCAAAAGGCTTTATAATGTTTTGCTAGAAAGGGACTCAGAAACTGAATTAGTTAAAGATTGTATGATTAAGTGGGCACAAAATTTTGAAGAACCAGTGATGTTGGAAACATGGGAAAAAATTTGGGTTCAGAATGTTAAATTTACACAGTCGCAGAACCTGAGGGAAAATTTCTATAAAATATTTTATAGATGGCATTTAGATCCCAAAAAGTTGTCATGTATGTACCCTAATGTTCAGCCAAAATGTTGGAGATGTGAATGTTTGGATGCTACGTATTATCATGTTTGGTGGACCTGTAGGAAAGTTAAGGCCTTTTGGATAAAAATTTGGTGGGTCATGCAGAATGTTTTGAAGAAAAAAATTCAGTTCTCTCCACAACTGTTTTTATTGGGTATAGTTAAGGGTTTTACATCGGGTGAAACAAAACTGATATTGTATATGATAACAGCAGCAAGATTGTTGATAGGTAAATATTGGAAAAATGAAGCTTTGCCCACTATTGAGGAATGGACTTTGAAGATGGCCAGTTTTGCAGAGATGGCGAAGATTTCAGCATACTTAAAAGATTGTCCACAAGAGACTTATGAATGGGAATGGAAAAGGTGGATAGAATATGTTCAGAACAAATATCAAACTAGAAAGTATCAAATAGCTTTTATTTGAAAATAATGTATTAAAAATATTTTAAGGTAATGAGGGTAAAAAGAAAAACTATACAGGGGAGGGAGGGGGTCAAGTTTTTACATAAGTGTTATATTAAGGGGTTTTTTTGTGTTTTTTTTTATCTTTCTTTACCAGTTATGAGTATAGGGAAGTCTGGGGGGAGGGGAGGGTTAGGGAGGGTTAGGGAGGTTGGGAAGTTTGGGGTGGGGGGTAGGGGGGGGGGAAGCGGTGAAAATGTAATTGTAAAACTTTTGCAATAAAAAAAAAATCTATCCAAGATTCATGGACCTTTTTCTATGTTTCTTCTCCTTACCTGAAGTAGCGGTTCAGCTAATCCTTCAACTTCATCAGAAAGAGGTGATTCTAAAAACTTCAAGGACAGCTTTCTACTCTCTGGGAGAAAGAGAAAAATACTGGAAGCAGATTTCTTAAAGAGAGACACTCCAATAAAGCAGAGCAAAAGAATCAGCTAAATATTGAACTCTCACAGTAAGAGCTTGTTACCTGGAGTGGTGTCCTGAGTTTGATCTTTCTGGAAGTTCTCCCTGAACAGCAGCTCTTGAGAAGATTTGAATGAATCTTTCCCCTCCTTAGGATACTCAGGCACAGCTTCCATGCATTTCTGGACATGATATGATATGATATGAGAAACAAAGGAAGAGCACAGAGATAGAAATAAATTATCATACTGCAGTTTCAAACTAGCAGACCCCAATGTCCATTGCTGAAAGAATTGCCCCAAATACATCCTCTGGAAGAATAGAACTGATGCCCTTAGGAGTTTATAATCCCAGAAAATTCAGCCAGAAAGAAGTTGGCAAATTCAGAAAGATCCTCCTTAGAGCTGCCATGATTCCATTCTCCCACCTGCAACTCTTCCTGCATGTTTTCCTCCTCCTGAGTCAGCAAGAAGCCTTCAGCCAGGGACACCGCCTGGGAACTGGTCTCTGCTCCACACTCCCGCACCCATCTTGCCATCTCTGGGGGAAGGACAGCCAGGAATTGTTCCAGGAGCACCAGGTCCAGCATCTGAGCCTTGGTGTGTTTTTCTGGTTGGAGCCACTGACGACAAAGGTAGTGAAGCTGAGTGCAAACATCTCGGGGACGGCTCCCCTCCTGAAACTGCACTTTTCTGAAGTGACAACATTGGAGCTCTGAACTATTGGATGCCTCTTCGTGGCTCTTCTGCCCAGGACTTGCCCCATTCTTCCCACAGCTCCAAGGCTGAGCAGCTGGAGGGCCTTTTCTAACTTCTGTATCTGCTGGGTGTTGTCCCTCCATCTTCTCTCTGGTCTCTAAAAAAGCTCCAAAATGCACCCACGGGTCTCCGTTGGTCTTTCTATTCACAAGAGGTCTGGCCAAATTTTCCAAGGCCATTTAGCTCTCTCTTCCCAGACAAGATTTGTAAGATTCCCGAAGAACCAGAATTTTTTTTTTGATGTATCTGAGATGGAAAAATGGGGAGGAAGGGAGGGGAGGGAAGATTAAGTAAAGAAATTTGTATGAACCCACCAAGGTTTGAGGGGAAATCTTATTAGCCAGCTTGCTCTCTCTACATCTGGGGAAATTTGCCCAGAACCCTTCAGGATCAATGTCTATCAAAATATTGGAAAATACATTTAAATGAGTATTTGATTTCTACTTCCTAGTTTCTATTAAAAATTTAGTTTTTATTCTTATGTCTTCTGTATTACTTTTGTAAATTACCCTAGGCAGAAATTATACACAATGCTCCTTCTTACTGTTTTCCCCCCAACAACAGCCCTGTGAAGTAGATTGGGCTGAGAACTGGGATGGCCTCAAGACTTTCATGCCAAAGGTTGGACTAGAAAGTTAATCTCCTGTGTCAGGGCATTGATTAATCCCATAATTGGCTCTGGGACAAATCACCCTGATTAGAGGATGGATCGAGGCTTTATCCAAGTTGCAATACTCTGAAAAGAAAACCCGAAGAAAAGTTCTCTAATAAAACTCATTTATTTGTTATAAAGAAAATAAAACACCTCACTAACTAAGAAAGATAATTGCTACATTTTGAAATAGTTCGGGCCAGCTGCTTTCCAGCAACGGGCACCCGTGGCAAGAGAACAAAGGAAAAAAAGTGTGTGAAGGAATGTGGGTGGATGGACATGCGTAGTAGCTTTTGATAACAATTCTTGGCAAGGTACGGAAAGTCTGATAGTCCAGAAATGATGAAGCTCAGCTGGTAAATAAAATAACGCACTGACATCCTGGTTTCAAAGCCTTGTGCTTTCATCACTGAGCCAAATGGTCTCTCTGGCTAATCATAATGTAATACAGTATAATTTAAAAGACAGTTTAATAGCATTTCTATGGCTGCATAGTTAAGAACAAGTCCTTGCACCCCTTGCACCCAACTCCTTACACACGGAGTTGAAGCCTTGCACGCAAAGCCAGCAGGAGGGACTCCGACCGCTCGCTTCTCTCGGCCCTTATAAAAAGGGGAAGGGAGGGAAACCCCTTCGGAAAACGGGGCCATGAAATATGCAGGAAACTGTCCAGGAGTCAAGACTGACTTGGAGGCACAAATCTCTGTTTTGCAAACACTTCTCCTCCTCCTCTCCCGCCATGCAAAGCTCTTCCCGTCGAAATGCATTGTAAATCCTCTTTTCTGCGACCCTGTTTTTTTTTTCCCCCTGGGGGCAAATGGAAGGGCGCGAAGCTTTGCTTTCCCCCCTGCCTGGCCCTTGCATGCACAGGGACGGCAGGGGAACATGGGGCCAATGGCTCCCCCTCCCCCTTTCCACGACTCCGAGCCTGAGGAATGTGAGCGTCCAGCGCGGGAGAAAAGTCACCCACCCACCCAGTCACTGAACCCCCCACTCACGTCTGTACCTCCAAGTCCAAGTCTTCCCTGCAGCCTCTTCCCTTCCCTGAAAGGCTCCTCCGGGCACTGGAGAACCTTTCAAGCCTCGGGAGTCTCGCACCCCTCTCGACTTGGGAAAGAGACCGGCGCATGCTCAGTTCTCTCGTAAGCCGCTCTTCGAGGGCGCCCCCTAGAGGATCCTGTGTGGATTGCGAGAAGGTCCTGCAAGGGCTCAGGATGCCATGTTCCACACGTGTCTGGGTTGATGGGCATTAAATTTGAAGGAAAGGTTCCCTCTAAGATTGCCTATCTAGAAATGAAATGACCTCTCCAGCGTCAGTTTCTAGATTTTCCCTCTTTTTAATCTCTAAGAACCGTCTGTGATCTTGTGAAGACTGAGAAAATCTCTGTGGAGACTCAAAAATCCCTTTCCTGAAGAGCAGCTTCTCTGAAGGGTCTCCAGGGATTCCCAGGAGGAGGCCTCAAAAATGAGCAAAATCCTGTCAGAAATGGCAGGGCGGTCAAAAGACAAGGAAGAAAAGTCTCTCTATGAAACCCAGCCTGTGTCTTGTGGCGGATGGCAAACTCAGCCTTGAAATGAGGGGAGATCAGGGGGCTTGCAGAGACACAGGGAGGAAAGTGAAAGGTTGAGGAAATTTGAGATTTGTATTGATTTTTCTTTAGTGAGTTCAATTATTACAGCTGCCATTCTAAATTCATGCCTCTGCTTAGCCAAGGAAACACTAAAGACAGCCTGTAATACTGAGAATAACCATACGTCCCAATGAAAACAAAGCATTAAAAGAAAAGCTCGAAAATGGAGTGAAAGCTCAAACTTGTGGGCCTTTAAAAAATTTTACTTCAAAACAAGCCACCATGATGGAGAAATTAAGATTGGGAGAATAAAGTCTCATATGTGGCTAGAGAAAAAGTGGAATCACAAAATGAAGGAAAGCAAATACTGAAAAATAAATATAAATCTCAAATACTACGAGGCGGAAAAAAAAGAGAGAGAGATGAATAGTTTTATTTTGGTTGTTGAATAGGCAATACACCTCAGGAAATTTGAGTAGGAAGCTTAAGAGCTTTTTTGCATTGGTGCAAAATGCAGCGGTCCATATGGTTTTCTGCAAATCCCATTGTGCACATGCATTACCTTTCCTGCGGGAGCTGCATTGGCTGCCAATTTGCTTCCGGGTGCAATTCAAGGTGTTGGTTGTCACCTTTAAAGCCCTTCATGGCTTGGAACCAGGTTACCTGAGAGACCATCCCTTGCGAGTCACATCTACCCGACCCATCAGAGTGGGCTGGCAGGGAATGGTGCAGGTCCTATCCCCCAGGGAGATACATCTGGTGGGACCCAGAAGGGCCTTCTCTGTGGGGGCCCCCTCTCTGTGTAACATCATCCCCCAAAGATTTGAATGGCCCCCACTCTAGGACTCTCCCAGAAGGAGCTGAAAACCTGGTTCTGCCACTGGGAACCCAGAGCGGGATGGAGCACATTAAGTGGCTCATGTGCGGTGCTGTCACCATGGTAGGGGGTTATTTTATTATATTAATTTATTATATGACTCTTCTTTAATAAAAGAATAAAAGAAGAGTTTTATTGTTTTTATATGAGGTTTTATATTTTGTAAGCCGAAAACAGCCAGAGAAGGGGCTCAGCCCTGATACTTAGCCCAACAGAAGTATTGAGGCAACAAGAAGAGGTTTCAGATAACCTCTAATAAAAGTTGTGCTTTTTTTTTTATCTAAAAGATACTTGAAGAATAACATCATAGTTGTGTTTGATATTTGAAACCATATAATAAAAACAATTAGAAATATTTCTACATGCAGAGAAGACCTTTGAGTATTTGGACTTGGCAAAAACCACAAGCAGGATTAGGGATTCACCGTGTTCTGGTTTGCACTAGAAAGGCAACTAATTGCAGACTACATATGGCAAGGGAAGAAGGCAAGAATTAAATTAAAGCACCTACAAGACTCAAAAGAGAGAGGAGGACTGGCACTGCCCGATTGGGAAATCTATTACAAAGCATCTGTATTAATTTGGATCAAGGAGTGGATGGAACTCAAAAACCATAGACTATTAAATTTGGAAGGATTCGATCTTCAGCAAGGATGGCATGCCTTCCTATGAGAGGGCACAGACAAAAAACATGAATACTTTCAGAGTCATACAATCAGACATGCGCTATACCAAACATGGCAGAGTATTAAAAAGGCACATTATAACAAAATCCCGGAATGGTTGTCAACGATGGAAGCCCAGATCTATACAAATGCCATGGACTATAATAAAACGAAAACTTATAAAGATCTGTTAAATATCCGGGGGGAACTAAGAACGAGGCAAGAACTAAAAGAGATGGGTACAGACATTGACTGGTGGCCGTATGCACAAATAAAATCAAGATACAATAAAGATTCGGCTCAATTTGAATTCCAAAATGGTCAAACCGAATTAGACAAAATTTTGCAAGGGACACAGGACAAATTGATTAAAAAAATCTATAATTACTTACGAGGATATAAATTAGAAGAAGAGGTAGTGAAAGAAAATATGATAATTTGGGCAAAAAATTTCGGTTATAGTATTCAATTAGACAAATGGGAAAAACTATGGAAAATAAATTATAAATTGACAATGTCTGTACCCTATGAAGAAAATCTCTACAAAATGTTTTATAGGTGGCACTTGCCACCAGCCAGATTGGCAACAATGTTCCCCGGCACGCCACCAACATGTTGGAAATGCAAACACCACAAAGGCACCTATTATCATATGTGGTGGACCTGCCCAATGGCGAAACAATATTGGCAAAGGATCAAAATACAATTAGAGGAAATAACATGCCAAAAGATAGAACTAAGACCAGAAACCTTCCTACTAGGTATAGTGAACGGACACTACGAAAAAGAAACAACATACTTAATCATATACATGATAACAGCAGCACGAATACTATACGCACAACATTGGAAGAGTAGTGATATACCAACACCAGATAAAGTAATTAATAAAATTATGGAATGTGCGGAATTAGATAGACTCACCAAGGAACTACAAAACAGGGAAGAACATGATTATTACTTAGTATGGGAAAAGTGGTATAGTTAGTTGAAAGATAGAAAAGAGATGAAGTAATAGGAAATAAACAAAATGACCAAATATAGAAAGATGAAAACAAAGTACAGACATAGGTCAATAAAGGACAATTGTAGATAGATAAAAAGAAATGACCAAACAAGGAAGAGTCAAAATACAAAGAAAAATGTATATTACAGTTGCGATAAACTGGACATGTATTGAATTTGGTGTTTACATGTTTTTATGTTTTGTACGTCTTATTGTGTTCTGTTTGTATTTATAAATAAAAATTGGAAAAAAAAATATTTCTACATGCAGAGAAGACTCTTTGAGTATTTGGACTTGGCAAAAACCACAAGCAGGATTAGGGATTCACCGTGTTCTGGTTTGCACTAGAAAGGCAATTTATGAATGCATATCTAAGAAGGTAAACAATTTATTTGAATTATTTATTTAGTTTTATTTTATTTATTCAATTTATATGCCCCTCTCCGAAGACCCAGGGCGGCTCACAATACACTCAAAAAATCACTATAAAAAAACGTAAAAATTAAATTACTCAAATGGTACTTGTATGAGATTTTAGACAACTATAGGTAGTCGTCAATTTACTACAGTTCATTTAGTGATTGTTCAAAGTTACAGCAGCATGGAAAAAAGTGACTTATGACCATTTTTCACACTTATGGCCATTGCAACATCCCCAAAGTCACCTGATCAAACGTCAGATGCTTGGCAACTGATTTATGACAGTTGCAGAGTCCCTGGATCCTGTGATCACCTTTTGTGAGCTTCTAACAAGCAAATCCAATGGGGAAGCCAGATTCACTTCATAACAGTATTACTAACTTAACAACTATTGTGAGTCACTTAACAAATGTGGCAAGAAAAGTCGTCAAATGGCATAAAACACAATAACTGTCTCGCTTAGCAACAGAAATTTTGGCCTCAATTGCAGTCATATGACGAGAACTACTTGGAAAAAAAAGAAGCTCACAAAAAGCCCTCTCCACGCTGCAGACCTTTATTTGACTTCTATCTTGTGTGGCTCCTCTTGTGGCGATGAAGATGACGGCTACAAGTAAAGCTCTTTCCACACTCCATGCATTTATAAGGTCTTTCTCCTGTGTGGCTCCTCTTGTGGGTATCAAGGTTATTGCTACGAGTAAATGTCTTTCCACACTCAGTACATTTATAAGGTCTTTCTCCTGTGTGGATCCTCTTGTGGGAATTAAGGTAATGGCTACGAGTAAATGTCTTTCCACACTCACTACATTTATAAGGCTTCTCTCCTGTGTGGATCTTCTTGTGGTGATAAAGATTATTGTTACAAGTAAATCCCTTTCCACACTCCATGCATTTATAAGGTCTGTCTCCTGTGTGGATCCTTTGATGGATTATAAGGGACTCAGAATAATAGAAGGTCTTTCCACACTCAATGCATTTATATGTTTGTTCTCTTTTGTGGATCCTCTTGTGGGAATTAAGACTACTCATAGCAGTAAAGGTCTTTCCACACTCAATGCATTCATAAGGTCTCTCTCCTGTGTGGATCCTTTTGTGAGAATTAAGACTACTGCTTAAATAAAAGGCCTTTCCGCAATCCATGCATTTATAAGGCTTCTTTCCTGCGTGGATCTTCTTGTGGTAATAAAGAGTATTGTTACAAGTAAATCCCTTTCCACACTCAATGCATTTATATGTTCGTTCTCCTTTGTGGATCCTCTTGTGGGAATTAAGATGACTGCTATGAGTAAAGGACTTTCCACACTCCATGCAGGTAAATCGTTTCCCTTCTGAATGTGTATTTTTATGAGAAAAGAGATTATCGGATATATTGAACCTCTTTGTACACTCCATGGATTTATATGGTCTTTCTCTCTTATTGATCACTGTATGGTTAGGAAGCGAACTGACCTGAGGAAGGCCTTTTTTGACTCCACTTTGTGATTGCTTTGTTTCATCACTCTTTGGTTTCATCTGATCTACAAATTTCCTTTTCCTCCCTTTTGAATGGATCGCTTGGTGTTCCTCCTTGCAATTCTTATTGTCTTCTCTATTACAGCCTTGAAAAAGAAAAATGAAAACTGTACCAAGAATAGGGGAACAAGCAAAACTTTTCTTCTGAATCGTCAATGTACTTCAGCTGTTTTGTTGGCAAACAAAGATAATAGCAAAGACCCATTTCCAAGTGAAATGATCCCCATATAATAGGATTGGATCACAGCCCTGATTTAATCTTTCATATGGGACTATTCCATGCTGCCAAAAACTCCCAAAGTGCACTGGAAACTGTGTCATAATCGGGCAGCAACATACCCAGCACTTCCCAACTTCAATAAAAGTCTCATCTCCACTTGTCTACAGAGCAGAATTTTTGAAAGTCAGAGGGAATTTCTGGATGGCAATACCTCCCTACCCTCAATTTAGGCTAAAGCCAATTCCAGTACACAAGTGGGCATATCTCTAAGAAGGGAACATGCCTCCCAGAGGTCATCTGGTCTTCGTTATAGCAGCTCAGGGCCATCGGGAACACAGTGACCAGGTTCAGGAGGGAATGACGAATCTTGGTAGCCAGGATCTTGCTCTGTCCATTCAGCCTCTTCCTCAGAGTCTTCCTAATATCTTTTATGAAATGAGTATTTTGTATTTCATGAGCAGAATGCTTTTTAAAAAAACAAACAATTTACTTTATGTAAAAAGCCAGGCTATGCAGTTTTTCCTTCAATATATTTCCTTCTTCCATAGTCAGTTTGGTCAAAAGGTTAAGACACCGGGCTAGAAACTAATAAAGTAACAGGCATTTTAAAAAAAATACTTTGTCATTCTTGGGTACCAATAAGGAGAAAAAAATGAATTTCAACAAATATAGAATCAAGCAGTAGCATAACAAAATTGATAAAAGTGAAGGGAGTCTTTAAATTAACGCACGAGATAAATAATGATGAAAATTCAGAATATGATACTGTGTGGGGAAGATGGTACGAATGGATAAATGATAGAATCAAGGAAGAAGTAAAAGGTGTAGAAATTAAGTAGAAATGTATAGTATAAATGACACCAGATATTTTTCATATATTTATGTACAAACACTGCGAAACCGATGTCAAACAGAATTGTTATTATATTTTATGTATGTAAAAAAATCAATAAAGTGTAAATAAAAAAAAAAAGTGAAGGGAGTCTGAATACATTCCATATCCTTCCTTTATTTTTTGTAAATAAAGGCAGCAGACAAACCAAAATTCTTTCTTCCTGCTGTTTTCCATACAACAATCCTGTGAAATGGATTGGAGACAGTTTTTGCCCAAAGTCACCCAGCCAGCATTCATGCCTAAGGCAAAACAAGTACTCACTCACAGTCACCCAGTTTCTACCCTGGTGTCTTAACCCTTTGACCAAACTGATTTTATGGAAGAAGGAAATTTATTCAAAGAAAAATTGGAAATCTGCAGGTTGTGTCTATGTTCCATGATGGAGAAGATAATTTTGACTCACTTGGTGCTTTACTGTTTTATCCCAGAATGATCTGTAATTGCTGAAAAATATTTCATCTTATTTGTTTTGATAAAAAAATAGCATCATGCTTTTTTAACACTTAAGAAAAAAAAGAAAAGAAATTGTTTCCTTTAAAAAAATGCTTTCTGCTCATAAAACACAAAATAACCCCATTCAACAACTGTTGAATCATGCTACAGCATAACAAAATTCTGAGCAGAGTCAGTGCTTCTTACCCAGAGGAGAGAGATTCCTGGAATTCTCCAGCATGACTTCTCTGTGGAGTTCTCTTTGGTCAGCATCCAGTTGAGACCACTCCTCCTTGGAGAAATACACGGCCACTTCCTCAAAAGACACAACATCCTGAACAAGGATACAAGTTTCCTTATTAACAGATAATGAGATAATTTTCTTCCACCAATTCTAGGAAAGAGATCTAGTGAATAAAATGGGTATTTTCTGCAGTATTAAGAATAAGATCTCACCGCTTTTGGCTGATGGCACAACTAAATCATGTTTGATCAAGCTGGAAGTGTTTGGAATGCCTTATGGTATAGGCAACTAAAATATTCTTGATCAATTGACAGTTGGGTCTTAAATCCACTACTTGTCAGTGACTCCCATTCTTCCTAGGATGGGCAGAGCAAAATACTGGCAAAACCCAGCTGACATGTTTTCCAATGGCTCATTTTATACACTGAGGGACCAACGTACTCCAACTCCACACCTTCATGAAGGAGTTGGAAGAGCTTGTAATAGAACTCTATATGTCTATGGAGATTTTTAACCAGTAAATCATGATTGTCCCAAAGACGCTTTTCAAAAGCACAAAAGGATTTTTTTTTTGTAATGGTGTGTGAGAATAACCCACACATTGAAATCTGATGGTGAAGCAGGAGGGGTGGAGAAAGCGACTCACAAAGGATCCCCTCAAAACGGAGAGTGTGAATGTTCAATGACCTGATGTCAAATTCATATTGCTTAGAAACAACAATTTCGTACATTGAACTCTAGAACAAAATAAAATCTATCCAAGATTCATGGACCTTTTCCTATGTTTCTTCTCCTTACCTGAAGTAGCGGTTCAGCTAATCCTTCAACTTCATCAGAAAGAGGTGATTCTAAAAACTCCAAGGACAGCTTTCTACTCTCTGTGAGAAAGAGAAAAATACTGGAAGCAGATTTCTTAAAGAGAGACACTCCAATAAAGCACAGCAAAAGAATCGGCTAAATATTGAACTCTCACAGTAAGAGCTTGTTACCTGGAGTGGTGTCCTGAGTTTGATCTTTGTGTAAGGTCTCCATGAACAGCAGCTCTTGAGAACATTTGAATGAATTTTTCCTGTTCTTGGGATACTCAGTCACAGCTTCCGTGCATTTCTGGACATGATGTGACACAAGAAAAAAAGGAAAAGTACACAGATAAAAATTATCATACTGCATTTTCAAACTAGCAGCAGCCAATGTCCATTGCTGAAACTCAAAACAGAATGGAAGAATTGCCCTAAATACATCCTCTGGAAGAATAGAACAGATGCCCTTAGGAATTAATAATCCCAGAAAATTCTGCCAGAAAGGAATTGACAACTTCAGAGAGATCCTCTTTAGAACTTCCATGATTCCATTCTCCCACCTGCAACTCTTCTTGCATGTTTTCCTCCTGAGTCAGCAAGAAGCCTTCAGCCAGGGACACCGCCTGGGAACTGGTCTTTGCTCCACACTCCCGCACCCATTTCGCCATCTCTGGGGGAAGGACAGCCAACAATTGTTCCAGGAGCACCAGGTCCAGCATCTGAGCCTTGGTGTGTTTTTCTGGTTGCAGCCACTGACGACAAAGGTAGTGAAGCTGAGTGCAAACATTTCGGGGACGGCTCCCCTCCTGAAACTGCAATTTTGTGAAGTGACAGCATTGGACCTCTGAACTACTGGATGCCTCTTCGTGGCTCTTCTGCCCAGGACTTGCCCCATTCTTCCCACAGCTCCAAGGCTGAGCAGCTGGAGGGCCCTTTCTAACTTCTGCATCTGATGGGTGTCGCCCCTCCATCTTCTCTCTGGTCTCTAATACAGCTCCAAAATGGACCCATGGATCTCCACAGGTCTTTCCGTTCACAAGAGGTCTGGCCAAATTTTCCAAGGCCATTCAGCTCTCTTCCCAGACAAGATACCTAAGATTCCAGAAGAAGCAGAAATTATTTTCAGCTGATATATCTGATATGGAAAAAATGGGGGGAGGGGAGGGAAGATTAAGTAAAGAAATTTGTATGAACCCACCAAGGTTTGAGGGGAAATCTTATTAGCCAGCTTGCTCTCTCTACATCTGGGGAAATTTGCCTTGAACCCTTCAGGATCAATGTCTATCAAAATATTGGAAAAATACATTTAAATGAGTATTTGATTTCTACTTCCTAGTTTCTATAAAAAATTTAGTTTTTATTCTTATGTCTTCTGTATTACTTTTGTAAATTACTCTAGGCAGAGATTATACATAATGCTCCTTCTTACTGTTTCCCCCCCAACAACAGCCCTGTGAAGTAGATTGGGCTGAGAACTGGGATGGGCTGAAGGCTTTCATGCCAAAGGTTGGACTAGAAGTTAATCTCCTGGTTTCAAAGCCTTGTGCTTTCATCACTGAGCCAAAGGGTCTCTCTGGCTAATCATAATTTAATACAGTATAATTTAAAAGACAGTTTAATAGCATTTCTACGGCTGCATAGTTAAGAACAAGTCCTTGCACCCCTTGCACCCAACTCCTTACACACGGAGTTGAAGCCTTGCATGCAAAGCCAGCAGGAGGGACTCCGACCGCTCGCTTCTCTCGGCCCTTATAAAAAGGGGGAGGGAGGGAAACCCCTTCGGAAAACGGGGCCACGAAATATGCAGGAAACTGTCCAGGAGTCAAGACTGACTTGGAGGAACAAATCTCTGTTTTGCAAACACTTTTCTTCCTCTCCCTCCATGCAAAGCTCTTCCCGTCGAAATGGATTGTAAATCCTCTTTTCTACGAACCAGTTTCCCCCGCCCCCCCGGGGGCAAAGCGAAGAGCGCGAAGCTTTGCTTTCTCCCCTGCCTGTCCCTTGCATGCATAGCGACGGCAGGGGAACATGGGACCCCTGGCTCTTCCACCCTCTTTCCTCGACTCCAAGCCTGATGTGAGCGTCCAGCGCGGGAGAAAAGTCACCCACCCACCCAGTCACTGAACCCCCCACTCACGTCTGGATCTCCAAGTATCTCTGCAGCCTCTTCCCTTTCCTGAAATGCTCACCCAAATGCAGAATCGGAGACCGTAGAAAGAGCGGAGAAGCTTTCAAGCCTCTGCTGCAAAATGCCCCGGGAAGCACGCAGCTCTCCTGACTTGGGAAAGAGGATGGCGCATGCTCAGTTCGTTAGGCGGGGGGGGGAGGGTTGGAAGGAGCTGCCCGGATCTTCCAGGGAGCCCCCTAGTGGATACTGCGCGCATTGCATGATGACCCTGCAAGGGCGCAGGACGTCATGTTCCATGCGGGTCTAGGATGATGGGCATTAAACTTGAAGGAAAGGTTCCCTCTAACGTTGCCTATCTAGAAAGGAAGTGGCCTCTCCGGCAGGCGTCAGTTTCTAGATTTTCCCTCTTTTTAATGCCTAAGAACTGTCTGTGATCTTGTGAAGATTGAGAAAAATCTCTGTGGAGGCTCAAAATTCCCTTTCCTGAAGAGCAGCTTCTCTGAAGGGTCTCCAGGGATTCCCAAGAGAAGGCCTCAAAAATGAGCAAAATCCTGTCAGAAATGGCAGGGTGGTCAAAAGACAAGGGAGAAAAGTCTCACTATGAAACCCAGCCTGTGTCTTGTGGCGGATGGCAAACTCAGCCTTGAAGTGAGGGGAGATCAGGGGGCTGGCAGAGACACAGGGAGGAAAGCGACAGGTTGAGGGAAATTAAGATTTGTATTGATTTTTCTATTTCAATTATTACAGCTTCCTTTCCAAATTCATGCCTCTGGGCAGCGAAGGAGGATTAGAAATCCCAAAGGCAGCCTGTAATGATGTGAATAATCTTGAAATATAGATCCTGATGAAAAAGAGGTGTAGGAAGTTAGCACCCACCCCTTTCCTAGAAGAATGAAATATTTTAGGAAATATTAAAAGACAGAATATTATGTTTCCCTGGATGAGAAATGGAGAAGCATGTTTTAAAGACAAAGCAGCTCCCACCTTCCTGCCCCCACCCTTTTGTTAATGGGCCAGAGGCAGAAACTCAATATTTGTCAATGGACCTCATCTGCAAGACATTGGGACCCATCTAGGAGGAAACTCACCACATAGCACTTGGGAAGATTACATCAGCCAGCAAGGCAGTGGTGGGTTCCTCCCGGTTCGGTCGAGCCGGTAGCGGTGACGATATGACATCACCGAACCGGTTCTCCCCCTCCCCGCCCTCCCACCCCCCGACCCCCACCCACGTTATTCTTACCTTTTATTTAATTTTATTTAATTTAATTTCCAATTTATATACCGCCTTTCTCCCTGAGGACTCAGGGCGGTGTACAGCCAAGATAAGAACATAGAATATAAATATTAAAAACAGTTAAAAATATATATAAATTTGGCCCGAAAGTTAAGAAATCACAAACCGATTAAAAGAATTTTAAAATTTCTTTTTTTTTTCTTTTCTTTTTGTGTTGATAAACATATTATATTATCTTGAATCACAAGGCAAGAGAATTATGCTGGGGCATGCAGAAGATCGGGTTGTTACCCACTACGATGATGGGAATTAATAATCCTGATGAAACCCACAATTATTACTATATGGAATATAATTATAATGTCACTCGGGTGGTTGTTTTTACTTTTATACATATAAGAAGATATTTACTACTGATGGGGGCAGATATGATTGAAGATCCTGAATAAACTGTTGCACCAGTAAGCTATGTTACCCGATTATGGATGTTGGTTCTACCAATCCAGTGGAAAGACCTCAAAGAAGATACTATATGGATTATAAATTTAAAGTCATTGTCTTTTCTTTTTTTTTATTTAGATATAATGGAAAATATAGACATATATTTTTAAGAAGTGTGGGCAGTGAATCAAAGATGTTAAGAAATGTTGTGTATGGCAATTTTGCATGATAGTGGGTGAATAAGCTATTTAGTAGATTGATTAGTCTAAGAAAAGGGATTTTTAAGTGTTATATTTAGGGGCGTGAAGGAAATGGATAGAGTGGAATAAATGTTAAACTAGATTTTATGGGGAAGGCCGCTTTGGAATGTTATAGTAATATATATAGAAGATTAAATGTTAAAGTAGGACTTATCGTATAGTTTTAAAGTGGAGAAGTTATTTTATAATGTCATAGTATAATGTCTTTTTTTTCCCCTTTCTTTTCTCTTTTTTGATATGTATGGATAAAGGGGGATGTTATAATATTAATAATATTTTTAGTAAGTAAAGGTCAATATCTAGAGGAGGGAGTAAGTAATCTGTTATGAATTAGGTTTTTTTTTTGTTATGAAGAAGTCACAGGGGGGGATGGGTGGGGAGGGGGGGTTAGGGAGGGGGAGGGAGAGGGGAAAAAAAAGGGGGGGGGAATTTGTATTTGAAAACTTTTTCAATAAAAAAAAAAAAAAAGAATTTTAAAATTTCTTCTTAAGCCAGCCCGGCTTGCTGGAAAAGATGGGTTTTAAGGGCACGACGGAAGGCACTGAGGTCATGGATTCTCCTTATCTCAGGGGGCAACTGATTCCAGAGGGTAGGAGCCCCCACCGAGAAGGCCCTCCCCCTGGGGGTCACCAGCCTACATTGTTTGGCTGATGGCACGCTAAGGAGGCCCTCTCTGTGGGAGCGCACAGGTCGATGGGAGGTCGTTGGTAGCAGCAGGCGGTCTCGCAGATAGCTAGGCCCTATGCCATGGAGCACTTTAAAGGTGATAACCAACACCTTGAAGCGCACCCGGAAGACCACCGGGAGCCAGTGCAGCTCACGCAGGAGCGGTGTTACATGGGAGCGCCATGTTGCTCCCATCACTACCCGCGCTGCTGCGTTCTGGACCAGTTGGAGCCTCCGGGTGCTCTTCAAGGGGAGCCCCATGTAGAGAGCATTGCAGTAGTCAAGGCGAGAGGTGACGAGGGCGTGAGTGACTGTGCACAAGGAATCCCGATCGAGAAAGGGCCGCAACTGGCGAATCAGGCGAACCTGACAGAAGGTCCCCCTGGTAACAGCCGTCAGATGTTCTTCCAAAGACAGCTGCCTATCCAGGAGGACTCCCAGATTGTGAGCCCTTTCAGTGGGGGACAAAGACTCGCCCCCAATAGTCAGTGATGGAGTCAACTGACTATATCGGGATGCCGGGAGCCACAGCCACTCAGTCTTGGAAGAGTTGAGTTTGAGCCTGTTCCTCCCCATCTAGATCTGCACAGCCTCCAGGCACTGGGACATCACTTCAAGGGCATCGTTGGGGTGGCCTGGGGTAGAGATGTACAGCTGGGTGTCATCAGCATACTGATGGTATCTCACCCCAAAGCCACGGATGATCTCACCCAGCGGCTTCACATAAATGTTGAACAGAAGGGGCGAGAGGACCGATCCCTGCGGCACTCCACAGATGAGAGGCCTCGAGGTCGACCTCTGCCCCCCTGCCAACACAAACTGCGACCGGTCAGAGAGAAAGGAGGAGAACCACTGCAACACGGTGCCTCCCACCCCCAACTCTTCCAGCCGGTGCAGCATGATACCATCGTTGATGGTATCAAAAGCCGCTGAGAGATCTAACAGGACCAGAACAGAGGAACCAACCCTGTCCCGAGCCCTCCAGAGATCATCAACCAATGCGACCAATGCCGTTTCCGTGCTGTGCCCAGACCTGAAACCCGACTGGAATGGATCTAGATAAGATGTTTCCTCCAGGAATTGTGGAAACTGTCGCGCGACCACACTCTCAACAACCTTCGCCATAAAGCGAAGGTTGGAGACAGGACGATAGTTAGCCAATATTGCCGGATCCAGGGACGGCTTCTTGAGGAGAGGCCTCACCACCGCCTCTTTCAGGGCAGCGGGGAAGTGACTATCACTCAACGAAGCATTAATAACGCTCTGGAGCCAGCCTCGTGTAACCTCCCGGGAAGCCAGTACCAACCAGGAGGGGCACGGGTCCAGTAAACATGTGGCCGCACTAAGTCTCCCCAAAATCCTGTCCACATCATTGGGAGTCACAGCATCAAACTCCTCCCAGATAACATTCTCAAGACTGTTCCTCGTCACCCTGCCCTGATCTACCCAGTCAGAGTCCAAATCCCCCCAGATCTGAGCGATTTTGTCATACAGGTATTGTCCGAAATCCTCCGCCCTGCCTTCTAAGGGATCCTCCCGCACTCCCGGATGGAGCAGGGAGCGAGTCACCCTAAACAGGGCGGCCGGACGATTCCCTGATGACGCAATAGAGGCGGAAAAGTAATTAAACTATTTGGTCCTACCCCCAAGCTATTGCTGCCTCCTGAGTCCCAGCTGATGACTAGAGGGAAAAAACTGTTTAAACTCTTGCCGCGGGGCTTCAAAGGGCCGTCCTACAGCTGATCAGTGTTAAAAGCAAACAAATGAGTTGGACCGTAAGTGTGAGGACTGGTCGTAAGTGTGAGGACCTTCCAGAAATGACTCTGACCAGCTAGCCATGCCCACCTAGTCACATGACCTCCAAGCCACACCCACAAAATAAGCCACGCCCACAGAACCGGTAGTAAAAAAATTTAGAACCCACCCCTGCAGCAAGGCTAGCTATAACCCCCACCCCCTGGGAGTCTGACAACCAATCAGGATACTCTTTCTGGGCCCCAGGAAGTTCAAAGCCAGAGAGAGCATAAAACCCGAAAACTCGCTGTATCTGCCCTTTTTCTGTTCAGGAACTCAAGCCATGTGATCCTGTCCACCATTAAACCATCTTTCCAAGCAGTCTCCATGTCTCCAGTGTCTTTTTCCCCACTTGGAGCAGAACCCAGAGAGGTTCTGTTCTTCCAACAGAGGCATCAAAA